GGTTGCCCAGACAAGTTGTGGATGTCTCATTCCTGAAATCAGGTTCAAGGCCAGGCTGGGTGGGTCTTTGAGCAGCTTGGACTGGTGGGAGGTGTCCCTGCCGACAGCAGGACTGGCATGGAACAAAATGATCTTTGAGGTCCTTTCCAACCCAAACAATTCCATGATTCTATCATCTTTTAGTGTATAAGCAACAAAATATGTTACTTCTGCTGAGGTAACTACAGTAACTCATTTTACAGTTTTCTTACTTTGAAACTCATTACTCTGACATTTCTGAATTTTACAATATTAATGCAGATGATGGATGGGTTTTGTTTTGTGTAGGTCTCAGTGCAATTCACATGGTGGTGATGGCAAATAGCATGTCCTGTCTCAAACAGCTGATTGCTGCTGGAGTTAACGTCAATGCTCAGGAGCAAAAATCTGGACGAACTGCATTGCACTTGGCTGTTGAACAAGAGAACATCCCCTTGGCAGGCTGCCTTTTGCTTGAGGTAAAGGCAGAATATCTTTCTTCCAGGTCTTTTCAATTACATATTTAAAAGCTGTTGACAATCCTTGAGTGCTTCAGAATGACAGAAGTAAGGGGGGAGGTTCCTGTTTATTGACTAGATTACTTGAACTGGTGTAATGGCAAAGTGACTGGTAATGTTTCTGTTTTGTTCAGCACAGCTGGTGAAGCTTTTGCCCAAGTTAAGGAATTTAGAGTTTGTGACCCTGACCTGACTTCATATGCCATGTATAATTTGCACTGAGTAATGCTGGCAGGCACTGAAGTTACCATGAGCAAGTTCATCCCTTCTTCTGTGTGAAGCAGAACATGTATAGAGTTGTGCAAAGAGATGTAGTTGTGTAATCTGTAAATATTTATCTCATCATAACACCTTGATCCTGGTATCCTTAATTCTACACACCCCAGCTGGCTGTGTGGCTTTCCTCTGTGCTCCTGCATGGATGTGCCACCACCCTGGCAGTTCTGACCAGCAGCAGCAGGGCAGGATTCTGCACACACCACTCCCACTCCAAAGGCCACGGACAATTGGATGGCAGAACCTTTACAGGGGATGCAAAGTGGCTTTTATCTACCAGACCTATTTGGAGACACACCCTGTGCCTCCTGCTCTAACACTGGAGCCCACTACCACCCTATGCATGTAGGCAGCTGTAGTTACTTTCTAACTCTTCTTTTCAGGCAACAGTTAGAGTTTTTATGCAAGCAGGCACAGAATGGTGCTTACTTGCACAGTAGCAGTGTTTATGCTGACATGAGCCTCTGCAGCTGCATTGTACAGATTTCTTTTCTTTTTTTCCCATTCAACAAAAACTTAGGGTGATGCAGATGTGGACAGCACTACATATGATGGGACAACTCCACTTCACATAGCAGCTGGAAGGGGCTCAACAAAATTGGCAGCAGTTCTCAAAGCAGCAGGTATGGAAATAGATCTTTGCTGGAGACTTCTCTTTCACAGTGACAATTCAAGTTAGAAGGCTGCAAAGCAGAAAAGAATGTGCCAGTGGACTTGCTTAAATGGGTGGAGGAAGTCAGATGTTAAAAGCAAGAAGGTCTGAATTTCCTCAGAAAGTCCTGCTCTGATCTGAGGTGCTATACTCATCACTCTTCAGCACCACCTAATGGCTAGAAAGGCAAATTACGTTGGTAAAAAAAATCTCAAGAAGACTTTGGGAAGTTTCTTGAGTATCTTTTGTAGCTTTTATAGCTGTAGAAGTGGAGAAGAGATCTTTTCATGTATCTGGGATAAGTGTTGGATTGCTTTAGAAAGAGAAAGGCAAAGAAAATCCCATCACTGAAGCATGAGCTTGTTAGTGTCTCCTACTGCTGTCACTTTGGAAGAATTAGGTTGGAGTATTTATTGGAACTTTTTGCCAATTGTACTTAAAGCTAATTTTTTTCCTTTGAAACAGAAACCCAAGCCTCCCATTGCTGAGGCTGCCTGCTTGGTTTTTTAAAAACACCCTGACTTTCTCTGACACTCTAAACAGCAGCACCACACCATCCCTTCATCCCATGCTTGCAACATGGGATTGGGAGTCAGTAGGTACAACCAGAGCTCTTTCTTTGGCCCTAAGGCTCAGCTTGTGGGTTCTTTTCCCTCTTTATAATGGAGAGTAGCATTGTACAGAGATGTGACAGCATTTAAATGTAACTGATAAAAAGAGCTGCTTGCTAGTTTAATATAAAATATCATTTACTTGGAGTAGCTAAATTAGCTGATTTGCCATTCAGTACATAGAATGCATATTTTAAATATTATTGAGAAGCAACTTGAAGCCTCTTTCCCCTCCACCCTACCCTTGTTTTTCAGGTGCAAATCCTCACATTGAGAACTTTGAGCCATTGTTTGATCTAGATTATGTGAAAGATGATGAAGATGATGATGAAGGGATTGTGCCTGGAACAACACCACTAGATATGGCAGCCAACTCTGAGGTATGTGATCTGTTTTCTCTTGTAGTTTTTTGTTGTTTCTTTTTCTAATTATAAAGGATAGTTCAGCTCTCTCAGCCAGCCCCTTTCATTGCATCCAAAATTATTGCAATTAATTTGCCATCAAAAATTAAGCTAATTCAGCCATAAAATTCCCCTGATGAAACAGCACTGGAAGAAAGCTCCACTGAACTGACTGAGGCTGCTGAACAGAAATGAACAGGCAGTTCTTGAAGCAGTTGCACTGCAGCCTTCAGTGTGGGAAAGCATTTACTGGGTGGGCAGCTTGTGTTTGAAGGCCTGTTCTCCAATGGGTTTCTTTGCTGAGTGTTCTTCAGAATTCCAGCCTGTGTGTGGTGGGAAAATGCACTCCTGTGTTCTACCCAAACAGTGATTGAGCTGATTATTGTGCATGTGCCTTGGTGTGAATGTAAGGGATAAGCAGTCAGCATCTCTCATCATCTGGAGCTGGAGAGTGGTACCAAGCTTAGGTGAAAATCTCAGTCAGGCTTTGTATTAAATTACTAGTTGCAGACAGGCAGCAGCTCCTTGCTTAATCTCTGCTACTGCCATTTACTTACTGCCAAGACTTCCTCTGTGTCTTGAAAATAGTTGCCAGAGGACACAGCTTAAAATAAAGAGAGATTTAACTTCTCAAGATTTTTCCCTAAAGTTTAGCACAGGTTTTGTACAGTATCCTTAGTCATACTGAGGCTGGGAGGGAAAAAATGCTGATTTACAGATGGAATTTTATACAACACTGCTGAGACTTAATGGACACTAACCAGATTTCTGCTAAATACTGACTTTAATGTGTTCTCTTAGGTGTATGACATATTAAATGGCAAACCCTATGAGTCAGCAGAGGTTTTGGAGGACTTACTCACACAAGGTAACACCTATAAGGACTTGACAATACCCCTCTAGTAATTGAACACTGAAAGAGGAGTGGCAGAAGACACTGCCCTGCTTTTACTGAGCTGGTGAGAGAGAAGAGGTGCCCTCCCACCCTCTCACTCATAGAACAAGCATGAGTCCCTTAAGATGTCTCAGGGACAAAGAGTACATCTGCACTATTGCAGCAACACATTTGTAATGCTGAGATTGGACTCTCAAATAGTCTTCAGTTTAGCTTTGTTTCTGCTCAAAAATGAAGTGGTGCATGTTTTGTATAAATAATAAACTAACATATTTCTCTGTTCCCTAGGACATTTGAGAGAGCTGAATGAGAATTCCAAGATGCAGCTTTACAAACTATTGGAATTGCCTGATCCAACCAAAAACTGGTCCACCCTAGCACAAAAACTGGGTCTTGGCATACTTAATAATGCCTTCAGGTTGAGCCCTTCCCCATCGAAGACTCTGCTGGATAACTATGAGGTGATGTGCTGTAACAGGTTATAAAGAACATTGATACACGTAGAGAACCTTGTTCTCCTGCACAGTGAGACAGTGCAGCCCTGCAGTTTTAGCCAGCCTGGATCATGCTGAGTGTCTGATGTCTGCTCTTTCAGGTGTCTGGTGGTACAGTTCAAGAGCTGATCACTGCTTTGAGACAGATGGATCACACAGAAGCCATAGAAATAATTCAGGAAGCACTGTCCACCTCACGCAGACGGCCTCCCCTGGAGGACAGCACAGCAAAAGCTCTTCCATTATCATCACCGCTCACCTTTGCAAAGGGAGAGACAGGTAAAACTGACAGCAAAATATGAAGAGCTTTATTTAAGACTTTTTTTCAGTTTCCCCTCCCCACTCCATCTAGAACTGTTAGGATTGCATGCCTTCTTGCACACACTGCTTCAGCTGCTTACTGGTTTCAGAAATATTTTGCTGCAGTGTGACCCCTCTCATCATAGATATCTGCTAGGCATAGGAGAGGGAAAATTAACCACTTTAATCAGCATGCCTGCATTACAGTATTCATTGTACTGCTGCCCTTTGCTAAAACCAGACACCTGCCATTTGCTAATGGTAATGCCTTGGATGTACTGGGAATATAGGCAATTGTCTCCTAGGTGTGTACAAGTGCTATTAGCTTTTGACTTTATTTTTTCCCCCCTCATAGCTGGATAAACAAAAATATTTGGGGCTCCTGAACTTCTCAGTAAGACTTCAGTACTAAATTTCTCCCTCCACAATGTGTAGCACTCCAAACTGGCCCAGTGTTCTGTAGGCAAAGAAACTGGGGATGGCTTAGGTTACACAGGACCTTTAGTAGCCCTGCTGGCCAACTCCCTGCTCAGAGCAGGGCCAGTGGAACATGACGTGAGGTTGCCCATGTTCTGTCCAGTTGAGTTCTGAGCACCTTCAGTGACAGAGGTCCTACAGTGGTTTTGGGCAGGGAACTCTACTAAGACAGGTTGTGAGAAGTTTGTCATCAGGGCTGTTCAGTCATTGCCTGGCCAGGTTTAGTAACAAAAATGTTTGTTTTTTTCCTGTTCAAACACTGGTAGTGCTGCCTGTAGCCAAATGTGGAAACTTACACCCTGTGTAAAAACACTGTAGGTATTTTTGGTAAGAAAAAAGAAACACCACAGTCACTCCATTCCAGTCTAACATTGCCAGTTTATTCTCCATAGAAAACTGTTTGGTCAGTCATGAATAAACCTTCACACCCACCCAAAAATGTGCTTGTACGTACACATATTGCCCCTTTAGATTCATCTTGAAGGGCAAGAGCTGTTCTGCTCTCTCTGCAACATGGAGGGTATCACATAGCTTATTTTAAGATGTTTGTTCAGAAAAACAAGACTGAACTCTTAAGGTACCACCACTGTTTTAGTCACGTTGATCCCACATCGTACCTTCAGTTTCAGCTCTTGCAGTCAGTACTCCTCCTGTGGATCCTGCACAGGTGATAGATGCTACTGATTTGTTCCTATTTCAGGGTCACTTACTTGATGAAAGCTCTTCAAATGTTTGTCTCAAAAAGAAATCTGTAAGTTGAAATAACATGAATTAAAAGTTTTAGGAGCCTCATCCTGGAGCTGTACACTTGCACAGTGTGACTCTGAGAACCAGAGAACCTTTTGTCCTGCGATCACCTCAACTGGGCAGAGTCCTGACCCGCGTGCAGTGACAGCTTTAGTGTCAGCAGAGCACCAGGCTTCTCATCCCATCCAAGCTCCAACTGCAAGCTGATCTCTGCCAGCAGTACATCAGATCACGTGCTTTGGTGCCTGGAAACATTCAGCACAGCTTTTCCTATTACAATGCCTCATGTTAGACTTATTTTCCTACAGAAGAGCTTAACCCTCTTGGTTTGTATTCCTTAGGCTTTTGTTAAAGCAACACAAATGATGATGTTTTTCTTCTCTCTGTCCCTCAGGTGAGGTCTATAACAGCAGATTCCAAGACCCTGAAAGTACATGTGACAGTGGTGTGGAGACCTCCTTCCGCAAGCTGAGCTTCACCTACTCAGACTCTCTGAGCAGCAAGTCCTCACTAACACTTGGCAAAATGGCCCTGGGCTATGGACATGAAAGTTCAGGGCAAAGCAATTACATAGCTGACTAGTGATCTTCAATTGGCAATATGCAATTACAGGAACAAATGGGACATTTCAAATTACATCAGTGTCGTCCTGGCCAGAGGGAAGGGAACTCACAACCAAAAGTGCACTGGAAGAATCCCACCTGAACCCGAACAAATGGCAACTGCAGCATGTGACTCCTAGCCCCTGCTTCCTTCCTCAAGTCAATTTAATTGTGTTCAGTTACAAGCCCTTTGCAGCAACCAGGGCTCCACTGCTGCATTAATACACAGGTCTGGATGTTGTGAGAGACTGACTGAGCTTCCCTGGTCTGTGAGGATTTTCTTTTACAGAGAAAAAGAAGTTGTTATGCATAATACAAACTTACTGAAGAGGTTAAGCACACAAGCAATCAGAGGATACAGTTTCTAGCTGCTCTCTTCATAATTTTTGCAGCACACCTTGCATGCAAACAGCTTATAACTGGCAAAGAAAAATCATTACTTTAATCACAACAGTGACAACTTGGCAAAAAAAAAGAGAATCCTAAAAGAATCTTGTATATTTCAAATAATGTATTTAAACTTAACTTTGGTGCCTCTTATTCAGAAATTTTTTGAGTTTGACATTTTCCTACTTGTAAATAGTTTTTTTTATATCTGTTCCTTTTTGGAAAAGCGTGCTTTTTAAATGCTTATTTTTATTTTACTTTTATAATAAAACCCCCAAAATTAATGCTCCTGTTTGTGCCTGCTGTGATTTTTACATTACTTTTCAAGTAGCGGTATTGAAGATTTAGCATCTGCAGTTTAGGCATTGATACAAGATCATGCTGATTTCCAAGCACTAAAATGAAAGCTTGCAAGCCACCTATGCTTTAAGAGTAAAGCCTCTTCCTTATTTTAGTTCTCATCATTATGGCAGCAGAGAATCATTTACAGTGAAACCAACTAGTTAGTGTCCCAGCAAATTTCTGATGAGACAGCTCTCCTTTGGGCTGTCTAGAATCTCCTGTAGTAACTGTGCTCATGAACAGTGTTTCTTCTTGTCTGACATCAGTTCTGAGATTGTGAGTGTCCTGTTATGGATGTTGGCCCAACTAAACAGAACAGGCATCAGAATTCATTATGAAAAAGCCAAGAGGGGTATTGTACCATTGTCACTTACTTCTAGCCAATTTTTGTGGCACAAAGATAGAGCGTTGACAGGGTCGTTCTTGGCTCAGCTCAGTCTTCGGTAACCTGGGTGTCACTCCTGAGAAAGTGAATCAAAATAAACCTTGAAAATGGTTATGCTTAGAGCGGTAGCTGCTGTAATGAATTAAACTATGAGTAATGAAAAAAACTTGTGAATTAATTTTATAATCCAGCTGAATTACTGAGAATGTTAATTACTCCCAGAGAAGATGAGTAAAAGTGCCATTCTTGCTTTCAGTTCTTGTATGTATAATCATCTAGGCAGTGTCTAAGGCATATAGAGTTTTGTTCAATTAATGTACTCCTCCAGTGTTGTCTTTGTATTCCAGTTCTAATAGAAACAGACAATGGGTCTCATATTCCAGGAGTGGAGGGGCTCTTTAAGCCCCAGGAGAGCTGCTGTTCAAGTAAAACACACCTTCTTCTTCCAGAGAATTTCCAGCACAGCTCAGGGGGCTGGCAGAGATTTTTACTGAGGTTTCTGCAATCCCACGGGTCACCAGGGCACCCTGGCTGTTATGCACACCTTTTGGCTTTAGTTCTGACCAGCTCTGCTTTTAAATCACCAGGAGACACCTGGATTTCCTTAAAGCAGTTTGTGACCAGATTTTGCGTAATAGCTGTTTATCAGGTTAGTGATCATGCACGGCAGGCCCTGTGTATGGCAGTGCTTTAAATGGCAGTCTGTCAGTTTCTCAGTTTCGGTGTATTTAATAAAAAAGGCTTTAATCTTTTTTTGGTTTTTTCCCCTTTGTTTAGAGATAGAAAAATATTACTGAGTGTGTCATCCTACACCTGGCTTGTAGAGAGAAACCTCCAAACTTAATCTGTATGAGCGGTGGAATAGAGCGTGCTCTGCTATTCTGCTGCAGTAATAAACACCAGAAATTTGTGGAAAGCAGCAAAAGTTGTGACAACAGATCTCTTCAGATGTTCTCTACATTTGATATAAAATGAATGCCCTTGATTTTAGATTGGCTGCTACAGCTGTACATTTCCTGGCATCATCTTGGCATGTATGTACAAACTTTGAAAGCACTGGAAGTTCTAGGCAGCATTCTGAGATTCTGTGGACTGCAGGAAAGATAAGGATTCTCACCTACCTGTAGTGGTGCATGAACTGTCTTTTCTCCCTTGCCTGGAAAGTAAAACACTTCTTTCATGCATTTAAGAAAAGAGAGCCACTCTCCTTGCTTCCCCCAAGCAAAGTGACAGGAACAGTGGTGCCCATTTGCTAGCTCATGGTCAATACTCACCCACCATCCACAGCTTATGGCATTTCTGGATGATCCTGTGGATGAAATAAAGCAGTTCTAGACTAATGGCCAGTGGTGCAGTCCAAACTTTTGCTGGCTTCAAAAGATTCCTACAGCAAAAGACAACACAAGTTAATTACCAAGGAGTTGATTTCCTCCTTTCACTATTATCAAGCAGCCTGATATCCCACTTAGAGCCAGGGTGGAGTATTTTTTTCAAGGCTGCAGAGGATTCCCATGGCCTCATTTAAACCAAACTACCATAGAATTTTTTAGCCATCCAGTCACCCTTGCAGATGCACAATGCAGAAGAGCTCTAGCTCAGGTATTATAGGTTTCTACTGACTGACTACTTCTTACAGAGATGGCCTTCTTTCATTTAAGTTTTGGCTTTCCACGCTAATTGAATTAATTTGGGGCTGTTGGTTTGCTACCTTGTAACATCTGGCTGGAAAGCAAGGTTATGTAAACACAACTCTTGGATTGAAACCTGTCCTAAAAATGTCAAACCACAAGTTCCTGGTACCCTAAGGGGTAAGAAAGAAAACAGTGATTCTGACAATAAAAAGGCTGGCTTGTAAGTTTCAAAGCCCAGCTCTCCTGTACTGAAAATAAGAAATTCACTGGCCCATTTCTCTGCTCCTGACACTGGTTGAAGTCACTGAAATGGTCTCTGCTAGACATCTCCAAAACCAAAAGGTAACTAACAGAAGTAAAAGTACTGAAGAAATACGTGCCTCTAAGGCAGAAAATTTGTCCAGACCACAAGGTATGCAAACAACAGGTAACAAGAAAGACTAACAGAGAACTATCAACACTTAGTAATTTTTAGATACATTTGCATGCTTCTTTCTTGGAGAAGATGCAGAACTTGAAAAAGCTTCCAAGGACATGGAAGACCTATTTTGCTCCAGTTTACTGGCCTTGTGTGGCAGAAAGTACAAACAGGTGCCCTCCAAAGCTCAAAATGTGCAAGCCCAGAATGTGTTCACAGCTAAATCCCAGCCAGAGAATGGTTTTAGGACAACAGATTGGCCAACACCATACAGTGTTCTTCCCAAACCTGCTCTCAAGTTCTGTTCTGGAAGGCCATTTGTCATGGCTGTGGGGCACTCTGGCTGCTGCTTTTGCCATCAGTAAAGAACAGCCCAGAGCGGCCTGGGAGCAAACAAAGGCCATGAGCACAGGAGAATTCACTGGTCCCTAACAAGACATTGCAAGGCAGCACCCTGAAAGAACACTGACAGGGCCAGTCCTCCCTACTGCTGCCACCAATAATGCAATGACACTGAGGACAAGCACCACACCTAGCAAATGCTCTCCTAAGGCTCCTGCTGCCCAACCCCCTCAGACAGAACTGGCAATACAGGTGTGCTGCAGCTGCAACAACGCTCACTCAGCTGGCAAGATCGATGTGTGGGTAGGAGTGCAGGTACCTCCCATCTCTGCCCTCATCTGAGACAAAGGCAGAACAATGTAACCAATACAGCACAGGATGCCACTGTGAAAGTACCAATGGTGAACCAAAGCACACCTCACAGCCACTGCTGCATGGTGAGAACAGCTTCCATAAAGATACACCTACGACAGCACCAGGAACCCAAAAGAACATATTAAGGATATTGAAACAATAATGGAAGACAACCTTTCTCTTTAAATTCTGTTTTGTGTTCAAGCATTTGGCTTAAGCAATTGGCAATCTTTCATAATGGCACCTAGTGCTGAATTAAAGATTTTCAGTGAGAAAGAAGGGATCTACTCCTTACGGAGCTCTTGACCTTCAAAAACAGCAATCATTTTAAAAATTGCCCAAACCTTGCTTTGTCAATCTGGTAATTGCAGAAAGCAACAGAGAAAAAAAAATAATAGAATACAGTTATGTATAACTGTGCTGGTAGACTTTATTTGCATAGCCACTTCATTAATCATTTACCACATCATTTCTTTCAAGATTTTTCCTAAAAATTGTGCGAGCCTAGACGAGGTCACAGTTATCAAAATTAATGAATGGGTTTTGCTTCTAGCAATCTAAAAATTTTTCTACATATCTCAAACTTCACTCATATGCTGAGATGAACAAATATCCCTGACCTCCAGATAGGTCTCTTGATTGTCTCTAAACAAGTGATTTCTCCAAAGTTTTATTTATTCAACACTATTAAGTGCCATTTTGAAATTCTGTCTAGATGTTGCTGGAAGAGACATTTCTCCATCAGTGTAAAAAAAAGACATCAACAGACTTGCCCTCTTCCTAATACACTGCAGCAGTACATATTAATCATATATTCTCCTAATTTTTTGTTTCTTACCTTATACTGACTTTACTGATGCTTTGATTCCACCTTGATTCCAGGACACCAAAAAAACTGAAGGATTTTTCTGGTATTGTTGGGCCGTGATGCCTCTCAGAATAACTTTTTAATTTCCTTTGTCAATGCCTGCATTTGTTAAGTTTTACTCATGATTGTTATTTTCCCTATTTTACAGAATCTATTAACACTGGCACATACATACACATCCATATTTTCATTGTTTTCATGTCTTCTTTTAACTAGGACTTGTTGTGAACCAGATGCAACTGCAGTTAGTTGTTTTGGTGACCCAATAAAGCATTTGTAAGAAACTCTATTTATCACTTCCCTTTCATCTCTAAGTTCTTCCTCTCGCTCAGGAGTATGTCAGTTTTGGTTTGGGTCACCAAACCAAAGTATCAACATGCTCATTAAAACTGTGATCACAGCTGAAATGGAGTCTGAATTCTCCAATGGAACACAGAGCTGCTCCCCCCCAGCACCAGTGAGCAATGCCCACGTGCTGCTTTTACCACAGCAATGGACATCAGGGGCAGAGCTCATTCAAACTCCACCTGCTGTGGTGCTGATTCTGCTTTGCAACAAATTAATATTTGCTTGGGTGGACAGAAGATCCTTGTGGAACCCCAGCAGGATCCCAGCTGCATTTCAAACCATGGCTGACAGACAAGCCAAGCCAAATGTTTAGCAACCTGCCCATGGAGTGGCTCAGTGGCCTATTGGAGGCAGTCCCAGCTTCACTCCCTGCCCTTCTCCCTTGCCCCCAGCATACCTGGCTGTTATCCTAAACTGAATTTCCACTTACAGAATAGTGAAACTAGAAAAAAATATGGATGTGTTTTCAATACACCACGTATATTATATGTAAGCTTTGCTGTTGTTATCTTTACATTGAACCAGCAGTTAAAATTCACAAGACAGGAAGAGACAGTATGTTCTTCAGACAGCTCAAAGTGCATGTCACTTCAGCTTCAATCAAATTCTTTCAAATTTGCTTTTCTCCTCCTGTTTCACTCTTTATCTAGAAGGAAATGAAGTATTCTCAGACAACGTCCAGTAGAGAGGTCAAGACTAGTGAACTTTCTAGTTCTGCAACACTGGTAGGTTCCCAAGGATAAAACACAACCATTTTCTTCTTTTCAGTCATGAGGAAACCATTATCACTAAATCTGCCTCTTATACTCCCTACATCCAGAGTAACAAAAGGAGCGATTGCGGTGGTCTGAAGAACAAATATATAAATGTCATCTTGTTGGGACACAGAGGCCTGAAAGAGAAATAAAAAAATGTATTATTGAAAAAATACATGTTAAAGAAGACCCCAGTTACACCCAAAACGGGAAAGACCTGCATATCAGTAAAACAGGCTGAACAACCACATTTGATCAAAAGTAGTATTCTTCATACTAAGAATCATGTAAAAACTGCAAATGTTACTAGAGCCTTCCTACAGAATACTATAGATTATGGAAAAATGCCAAGAAGCATTATCACTTTGCCATCTTCTTATGAGAATAACTGAATAAATGGTAATCTGAGTTCTACATAGTACTGTAGAATTTACTATGCAGTGAAAGAGATTTGTCCTTTCACCAACATTTCACTCAGCTTATCAATTCACACCTACTAAAAGAGCTTGCCTTTCAATGATATACATAATAGAAATACACAGAAGCAAAAGATGGTTAAAACCCAGTAAGACAGAAAGACATCTCATCTTAATGCATCATGGCATTGAAACCCTTATACTTGATTTAGTTATATATAAAAAAATAGTTCTAGAATGTAAGGTCAAAGTATAATGTTTTGTATTAAGTTCTATGAGTACTTAAATCTCAGAGAGACTAAATCCCAGCCAGGATGCATTTTCATGCAGCACTCCCCATTCACCATAAAGAAAGATTATTCTACATAACTTTCAAATACCAGTTAAGCATATATAAACCATATAACCAGTTAACCTCTACAAAAAGAGGACAAATTACAGTCAGTGCAGGCATCACGTTCCAGTTACAAGAAAAGCAATGCTATGCAATTTTGAGAAAAAGCACACATCCTCTACACAATCTGTTTCCTGAAGAAATATAATGCTTTTGATGCTTTTTAAAACCAATTCTAGGAACTGTAGCTCTTGGATTAGCAACGTATTTGAAAGTCTAGTTAGCTTATTGGTTACTAAGTATAGACATACCAGCCTCTTGCAACACAATGGTTCTCTTAATCACAGCTGCCTTTCTTAAAATGACTACTGTGCATTTATCCTTGCTAGCTATCCTTGTTAGTTAATATTGCAAAGACAACACGGTTACAAGATAAAGAAATGAAATTTTCAGAAATGCTCCAGTTGCAGAGCTTTTCTAATTGATGATATCATCTATAAACCAAAAAACCAAACCAAAACAAACAAAAAACCTCCCCACAGCATGACTCAGACTGCAGATTGTACCACCAGATGAAAAAAAAAATTAAAACAGGCTGATTTCTTTTCTTTGTATACTCAGGAGGCAGGCTGTGCTGCCGTGAAAGAGATAAGAAGAGAAAATCTGGCCTATTTTCTTTTTGTAAAGCAATTATGCTGGTCCAGATTCAAAGAGATTAGGCCTCTATTCCTCTCTTGTTCAGTTTAGCACTAAAGAGCAAAGCTGCAGTTTGAAAGCCAAATGCGAGAACACAAAGGTCCCCATCCTGCCCATTTGATGATTAGGAATTTTCCAATAAGATGTACAGGCTAAGAAGTGAGGTTTAATAAAGCATGTGTGCACACACACACACAGGGCATGCAAGCTCTCTATATACATAGCAAGCTTGCTAGGAGCAGAAGAAATCTAGGAAAAAAGCAGCAAACTGACTAAATGACAGTGCTACACAACATTAATGGATTTTTTGCCTGTTTAGGAGACTGACACACTTGTCAGCTATTAAGAAATAATCACTACCATGCCCTTACTGAGGGCAGGGATTTGAAGGAGGAAAGGAGCATGCAATGCTCTGTATTAGCGATGTTACACTGATCTGAGAGCGTGAGCACTTCCAGAGGAAACACTGCTGACAATAATACACCCCACACTCAACTGAACCAGGATCACCTAATCCTGACACACAGTGCTGTCTGCAAGCCAGAACACTTGTCACGATGCTATTGGCTGTCTAGGCACAAAAAGAAAGGAGCAATGCTGCAAGGTGGAAGACAATCTAAACAAATGAAAGGGAGATTTCATTCTTGAAAACAAAACAAAACCCAGACAAAAACTCAAAAACAAATACACAAACCTCAGCAGTCTTATTTGGATACACATATAGTGACACCAGAATACCTGGAAGCCAGAATAGCAACAACCAAGGAGAAAGAACATTCAGTGGAATGAGACACTGCACAGCCAGCAAACAACCCTAACCAGTAGGATTAGCAAAACCAAATGCAGTAATTTAGCATGATTGATGCTTACACTAAGCTGGGTCTTCTCTAATCCCACGGCATCCTTGAGTGATGAAAGGAAGTAATGGTTCATAGGACTCTGGAGCCCATCTTCTCCCACGAGACAGAAAGTAACAACACAGCTTTTCCTGCTACAACATCTGCATCTTTCCAGAAGGTCACTGATGGACTCCTTGTAGATGGGGACAGCACTCTGTGCTTTAACAGTCACACCTTCCTTGGCAAGGGTGCACAAGGGCTCCAAAGAGCTCCAGGCGTGCACTATGACCTATCAAGCACATGGAGAGAGCACAAAGCTTAGAAGAAAGGCTCCATTTGTGAAAACAATGCAGCACCCTAGATTTCAGATTGCTCATTACAACAGATGCTTTTCTGACAGCACCAGCTGATTTCCACCTAGCAGGAAACTAAACAATAGATATAGCACAAAAACAAGATAATTCTAAAAACCTAACAAGAGGTCCATTTCAAACAGTCCAGAGCTGCTCTTGATCTGCAAGACTTTTTTGTTTTCTCCAGGCTCCTTGAAAGAAAGAGATTGCCAATTCCTGCCAAGTGAGTGTTGGGAAATGGAATTACTGAGTGACTAATTTGTTGACTCTTTTTGCTCCCTTCCTGGATTTAAAAAAATGCTAACAGAGGATTTTCTTGAGATTGCTCAGCGTTATCTGATGTAACCCAACTGGGTATGCTAGAGTTTCTGTATAATCACCCTTAAACAGAAGCAAGCCCCATCATCTTAAAAGAGATTGTGAAGGTTATAGTAATACAGCAAAATGCATTCCAATTCCATGCATTATGAATATACCCTTTTTAAAAGAGCATAATTTGGAAATTAAGCACTTAATGAAAATTACAACATTCTATTTCATACCTTTTCAGTTATTTTTTGCCTTAACAGGAGTGTGCAGTCAGGAATAGATCTTAACTCCTTTCAAGAGTTAAGTTCCAAATCTTCTTGAAATGCAATATACAGTATTTGTCAGAACTATTCTACTGCCAACACTTTTCTGATGCTATCAGAAAATCCGAATTTCTGTCTGTTAGAAGAACTCAGACCAGAAATTAACAATTTCATTAAGTGCAGTCCTACTCCAAGAACTGACTATCCAGAAATCGCAACCATTTTCTGTAGCATATATTACTCCATATAAGCAACCTTATAAATCAGAAAATTCATGGAAGCCCACCAGACATAGCAATGATCTAGGAGCTGACATACTCATACTACTAGTGAGTTACTCCTGGTCTCGAGGTCTGTTTTCCCATCCTTCACACTGTTTTCACATGGGACACACTTTATGTCAGGAGCTATATCTCACAGTGGAAAATGGTCCCTAAATTCATCTGGGGTCTGGCTGCCAAATGATTAATAGCAACAAAACATAACAAGCTGAAAAGGAAGACACTTGTCTACAAGGAAACACAGTAGTCCAAATACTAACTTAAAAATCTTATCAGTTTCTATAGCATTATCAGAAAACAGTTAAGGCATCAATTGCAAAGTGGTGACATACATAGGTGACCTTCCAATTAAAGACGTGCTGTTCATATTTCAGAAGATAATCCAGTCCTTTTTCCCAAAGCTGTATAGTTTGAGTACTGGTAAGCAATGGTACAATCCCTTTTCTCCCCCCTACTTCATCAGGTTATCGAGTTCTAACACCCAGGGAAGAGTTTTGTTAAGCAGTTAGGTACCATTTTTCACACTTTGTTCTATTTAACCACCAATCCCCTAAGATTTCAACAGAATAGTTCATTTCAGCCTTGTACCTACAGGCTATATACAAAGCAATTCCTTCTTCTGTGAAGCACTACACACATCTTTAATAAAGAATAATGTTGCCCCTAAGATTAAACACTAGAGTTGCATCTCATGGTGTTTGAGCATGGCCTTACTGAAGCTTGTCTGTACAAAGATGTGCTCATTTCAGCTTCTCACGTTTTTGTAGGAGGCACTCAAGAGTGGTGAGGTAGGTGTCACTTACCCTTAAAGTCAGTTTGTGGTCCTCATGAAGATCTGAGACACCATAAATATGCAACATCCCTTTGTCTTCATAGGCCACAGGCAGCAGTGGTGCAAAGAAGTTCTGGGCAAAATAATGGAGCAGTTTCCACTTACCACCATACTCTAAAAATGGTTAAAAAGAAGAAACACTGAAACTGAATCCAAGATTGTCTTGTAACACATTCCCTGTTATGTGCTTTTTGGTCCTGCTGTTGGCAATGCAACATTTCCCTCCGCCCTTTTTCATCTCTATCAAGTGCAAAGAATGACTGAAGGTATTCTTGCTTCCTTCCAGGCAAGGCTCTGCCCTGGAAAAGATCTGATGCTCTTTCAAGCTTTGAGCTCTCCTGAAAGTTTACATTTTTCTCTGTCTCTGTGCTATCAGAGCTACACTGTCATTCAGCTAAAGGAAGCCTTGAACACAAGTGACAAGGCTGACACAGCATACCACACATAAACCAAGCAGTGGAGCATCTGTGCTGTTGAGAATCCAGACAAACACACTGGCATTGCCACAGACTATCACTAGTATAAAAAGAGACAAGGCACTTATACAAAGGGCTCTCTTGCCCTTTTTCAGTCTTCCTTTCAGCTCTTCCTTAGAGGACATCAGTAACAATAAAGACAAAAATAAGTTCCCAAACCAAAGACAACTGTGAGCTTGGCAAAACAAATTTTCCAAGATCTAGAGACAACACCTTCTCCATGGGAGTTAGTATTCATGACAGGCACACGGCAAACAGTTCATGCCACTTCTTTAATGGAAAGCTGTACCTCATTACTTTTAATACTTTGAAAGTTTGCCCTTAAACTGGAAAAGCCATCAAACTCTGCATCCTCTCCAAAAAAGGCACTTTCGCTTTCTTGCTTTGCAACACTGCCACACAACCATTTTAAAAGAGAAGCTGCATCCATTTCTTCCTCTATTAACGTTCCATCTAGCACCCACTATCTGCATTTTAAGTTTGTCCTTGCTCAACCATTATCCAGTCACTGAAATGGCACTAAAAAGAAGTAGCAAGTCAGCTGCACCATCTCTCAAGGAAAGAAAAGTTAAATACTGGTTTCATTCTTGTTTCTGGTTCTTTATTTTATACTACAAGTTTAAAAGCTGATGTATGCTTGATGATGTATGAAAAATATTTTCAGTGAGATGTTTTTGTTGTAACTCTTAGTAATTACTCCCTTAGTTTTGGTTCTGGTACAAAGCTCTTAGCACTTTCAAACATCTCATAATTAAAGACTTATCCAGAGTCATCTTTAAAAGGTTGTTGTGGCTTTCCCAGGGGGACTTGAACATGCCTTGTCTGCACTCCATACAGACATGAATGAACCTTGTGAAGAATAAGTGCATTAGTTCCAGTTTAGCATCTTACACATCATCTTGTTCTCAGCAAGTTCACAAACAGCTAGCTTGGAGAACAACAAGAGAAGCTCAAATCTGCCTGGAAAACCCACACAAGATAACTGTGCTATGAGATCAGTCTGTTGCCAGCAAAAACACCACTGGCATTCAAGTGAATTGCACTGAAGCAAACCAAAGAGATAAGGCTGGAGGAAAGCTTCAGGAGAGGCAGCTGCATTTCTTCAAAACAGACAGCTGATAAACTGATGAACGTACTCAGTACATTGGTGCTTCTCAGAATAGAACTGTAGAACCATTTATTATGGGAAAGATCTCCAGGATCAAATTCAGCTGTTCACCCACCAAATGCACCATTAAACCATGTCATGTTCCCATGTCATACCTGTACATCTTGTAAATACCTCTAGGTATGGTGATTCCTCCACTACCCTGGGCAGCCTGCTCCAATGTTTGACAACACCTTCAGTGAAGAATTTTTTCCTAAGATCCAATTTAAACCTGCACTGGCACAACTTAATGCCATTTCCTCTTATCCTGTCACTTTTTAATGGAGAAAAGGGGCCGACCCCCACCTTGCTATGACTCCCATTCAGGTAGCTGGAGAGATCAAAAAGGGGGGTGTGGGGATGTGGGTGTTTGTATGTCCCAGCCTCCTCTCCTCCAGGCTCCCTCAGCTGCTTTCCACAAGCCTTGTGCTCCAGACCCTTCCACTGCTCCACTGCCCTTCTCTGGACACGCTCCAGCACCTCAATGCCATTCTTGTAGTGAGTGGCTCAGAACTGGACACAGAATTTGAAGTGCAGCCTCAACAGTGCTGAGTACAGGGGGAAAAATCCCTTCCCTACTCTTTCTGGCCACAGACACAAGCCAGGATGCCCTTGGCCTTCCTGGCCACCTGGGCACACCCTGGCTCATGTTCAGCTGCTCTCAACCTGCACCCCAGGTCCTCTTCCACTGGGCAGCTTTCCTGGCACTCTGTCCCTGCCTGCGGCACTGCCTGGGGCTGCTGTGACCCAAGGCAGGACTCAGCACTTGGCCTTGTTGAACCTCATAAAACTGGCCTTAGCCCATTGATCCAGCCTGTCCAGATATTTCTGCAGAGCCTTCCTGCCACTCCCACCCAACTCAGTATTGATTGCAAACTGGCTGAGGGAGCATTTGAACCCCTTGTTCAGATCCTTGATAAAGATATTAAGCAGAGCTGGCCCCAGTACTGAGCCCTTGAAATCCCAGTAGTGACCTGCAGTCAGCTGGATGTGAATCCATTCACCACCACACTTGGCCTGGCCCTCCAGCCAGTTTGTTTTCATGGTGAACAGTGCACCCATACAAATCATGAGCAGCCAGTTTCTCCAGAAGAATGTTGTGGGAAATTACATTAAGGCTTTGCTAAAGTCTAGGCAGACAACACCACAGCCTCTCCTCATGCACCAACTGCATCAGCTTGTCACAGAAGGAGATCAGGTTGGTCAAGCAGGACCTGCCTTTCAAAAACCTGTGCTGGCTGGGTCTGATCCCCTGGTGATATGAACAAAGGCATGTTCTGGCACTCCAAGGACACTTCCTGCCAGAAAACATTGGTGGTTTAAAGAACAAATCTACCAAAAATAGGGGGTGCTAAAAAATTACTCTTCAGTCATTAAACTTGAGAAGATGGGAGATTTGGACTGGGGATGGATTATCTGAAACAGAGTAAACAGGGGAGCAGTATCTGATCCAACAAACAGAAGCTATGGGCTTTGTAGGAGAAATGGGCAAGGAGAGTCTGGGAGGGGTTGAAATCTCTAAACCCCCAGGACTGCTACAGGACTTCCTGGAATTTCCACTGTCAGTTAATTAAATTGCCAATGCAATAGATGTTGCTAACTGCAGAATCCAGGCAAAGCCCACCACAAGCTCAGACAAGTTACCCAGCCTGGTCTGAGGTTTCAGTGCCTGTTGACTTGAATTTTTTTCCTGAGCTTAATTCACATAACAAAAATCTAGGCTTCAGCTGTCTTATATATGGAAATGAATAATGCAATTAATATAGAGCAGTTTCTGCTACTTAGTGTAATATAAAATCCTGTTTCTTTTTGAATAGGTCCTTCTCTCAATCTCTGCTGTGCCTTGATTTCCAGATGGATTACACAGCCACATTGGAGAGGGAAAGAGACAGCAGGGATCCTCAAAAAACCTTTCCAGCAAGGGCGACACACTCAGAGTGCCATGGCACTAAACTTCCACAGGAAAACCCAAGCAAACAAAAACCCAGCCAACAAACAAAATCAAACAAACCACACACTTTAAAGTTCGCACCATTTCAAAACCCACTCTACTACTAAGACACCCATTGTTTTGGAATGTTTGAAACATCATTAGTCTGCTCAACTCAGATCAGCTTTTAAGACTGGTATTTCCTTTTCCAAAAAAACTAGAGCCATTTTAAAGAACCAAAACTCAACTGCTGCAGCAGTTTCACACAGGAAGTGTTTTCCAAAGACAACTTTTCCAGCAACAGGATCTTAATAATACATTTGTCAAAGTAACATCAGACAGCAAGGAAAACTGAAGCTAATTAAAAAGCCCATATTTTTCAGCTCTTCTGTTGTCAGGACTAGAACTACATTCATTTCTTTAAAAACAGGCAGGTGGCATATCAGATGCACCACGAACACAAACCCAAAAATGGATGTAAAAAATCTGGAGGTCAGGAAGTTATCATGAGAAACCTCTGGGTTTAAACTTTCCTCTTACAGATATGCATGCCCAAAGGCAACAGTTAAAAGTTATTTAAAATAGCCCTGGGGTGGTTTTCTCCTCCTCCCACATTTAAAGAAATTCTTACAGAAATCCAAGTTCCTCAATTTTTCTTGACAATATCAAGGGAATTGCACTCTCTGTGGTATTAAACTTCAGGACAGGAAACTAGAATTAGGTGTGTAATGAAACCCAATACCCTTTTTCTGACTCCTCCCTAAAGCCTTCTATACTGATGGCAGGAGTGCAAATAAACAGATCTCCCTGAAATGATTTTAGATTAATCACTTCACACCATTAAATGCAACCTGAGAAACATGCTGCTAGTTCCTTCCTCACCTCAGCCTCATGAATTCAGATCAATTATTCTCCATAACAGCCTGTACTGGGGCTCGCCAGGGGCTCTAAATATTGAACCTGCAATAAAAGTCAGTTATCTGCTCGAGGGAATCTCAAAACTACGAGCTGGGTACCTCAGGGTGACACTTGTCTGGGAATGTCACAGCACTCCACCAAAACATACTGCAGAGATGCTAAAGCACCCGACATGGCACAGCCAGCTTCACAGCTGGGTGCTAACAGTCAGGACCCAGTTGTGATAAAAGCTGTTTATTCTGAGCTGAAGCCAGAGGTACTGTGACACAAGTGCTGTGCTGTGTTTTCATTCAACCCAAGCAAACATCTTAAAGGTAAAAGGAGAAACATTTGCTACCTTCTTCCTTCCCCACCATGTGCAAACATCTCTGCTTTGTACCGGAAATTATGTAAACCCCTCCATGACTTTCTGCAAAGTAACAGATTTAAATAAAAGCACTCATTGGTGATACTACTGTGTCACCTAACAAGATGCAGAAACGTGGTTTTGAAGTGCAAATAAAACCAATTTCTCCCAAGTCTTGCATAATTTCAGCCATTAGCATTTCAAAATCCCTCTACCACACTGCCTAATTAAATGAATATTAAACCTTTCCTCATCTCACTGAGGGAATACAACAAAACAAAGGGACAGCTGTATCTCTGCTGAGCTTCTTTCTTCTAAACTTCAACAACATATGAATAATTCAAGTATTTGATAAATATTCTACAGTGATGTCATCTCTGTACTCAAAAAGACATTGCATCTATCAATACACCTGTCTTTACAAAGGGACACTTTTCCGACCATCTTTTTCTCTTGGGGCACATAAAACCTACGAGCATCACTCATTGCTAGAATCATAAAAGTGAACATTGTGATATTCCATTTCCTAATACAAGTCTAGAAAGTCCAGAAAGATGAGCATCATAGTTGGACCACTGCCTTACATTTAAATAAATTAGCCTCTTTCTTCTACTGGTTTTTGCTTTGTTATTGCAGTTATTTTGTTTGAATTAATTAAAAAAATAGAAAAAAAAATAGAAAGGGAGAGGGACAAACATCTCCCAGAAAAAGAGGGGTAGGATGGCATTTTATTCCAAGGGCACATCAAGACTGTCCATAGACAGTCTTACTTTTTCTAGTTTGTTCATATTTTTTCACACGTGAATTGCTTAAATAAAGATTTTCAAAACCAAAATATGTGAGAAATAACTAAAATGGAAAAAGAATCTACCCAAGTCCTATACAGTTGCCATAGGGCAGCTTCTCCATTTCAAAACGACTCCTAGAAAAAATGTTTGGAACATGAAACACAGCCACTTCCCTCATGCCACACATGCCTCATTCCTCCCCTACTTCTTACTGTCTAAGTGACTTATCCCTTTATATGTCTGATTAGTTTTGTGTTCTAAGAAGAAAAAAAAAAAGTGTAAATAGCATATTAGCAGAATAATTTAGTCATTCACCTCATTTGACACCCAGTTAGACATCAAATCTCAGCCAGTCATCTCCTATAAAAAGCTCCTCAGAAGCTACACTGAGTGAGAGATATCTTATGAAGTTCTATGAAAATCAAATTCATCATGAAGAAGATAATTCACCCCAGTTCTGAGACAGCTAAGGACACACAGCTAATGAATCACATTTAGAGATAAGCATCTCTCCCCCAGCTGACTAGAGAAGAAATCTAGATGTTCAACTTTTACATCATAAATCCCATCCTGTAATGCATTTCTAAAGGATGGACAGAAATATGTTCAAAGTTTGTAAAGGTATCCAAGAGACAGATCAGAGCTGTATTTCTTATTCTGATGCTTCCAGATGAGGAAAACACAACTGGCAGCTGGTGCTTTTTACCAGACTGTCACAAACTTACCCAAGGAAGCCCATGAAGGTGCCTGCCAAATGTCATTGAGCTGCCAGTACAGAGCACCCATGGTGTGTCCTTCTCCATTGATTATTTCACTTTGACTAAAACGATAGAATTCAGTTTCTGTCTTTATACACTGAGCCTGCATCACCTTGGTCAACAAAGAGACAGAAATTATTTTTGGCATATTGGATTTTACTTTTTTTTCAAAACTTGTGTGAATATATTGATACACGACACAGACTTCACAGCAACAGCACATAACTTTAAATTTGAGCCCTGTGGTGTATCCACCTGCGGTGCAGTGGAACTATGCTGAAAGGAGATCTATTCCTAGCAGCTCCCAACAGCTTTGCAAGCAGTACCCTTCAAGAATCTCATATCGGGCTACTTCCATACAGTGAGGATGGTCTTTGAAAGGGAAATCAAAGACAAGGCAAATAAAATTAAATTTAAAGTAAGCATTTTTTACATTAATTTAAATAACCCCCTCCAGAGTTGCAAAATTATGTTAAGCTGCGTTGCCTTCAATATACATTACCTTAGTGTCTAAACCCCTAAACTCTGAACTTACATTCTCACTACAGTCAAAACTGTGCATCAGAAAAGCAACCTTTTTTCAGCTGCACTCCTACTCCTTTTCTCCTTCTCCATGGCATCTAAAGACCACTTTGCAGAACTTTTCACTGGCCAGGTTCTCAATGGATGCTAAACAGACTGCTATATTTTCTTCACACAGTTTATTATTAGGCTGGGGAGATATACAGAAATTTTTAAAATAAAGTTAAAAGCCTTCAGGACAGCCCAAAAGGTAAAGATATTACTGCTGGTTAAACACTAAAGCAAGTTTGCTTTCTTTATCCTTTTTGCTATCCTTATTTTGGTATTAAATTGCTTAACCTGTTAATAAGGCCTTGACAGACTTAGCCTTACAGACACTCTCCCAGCTTTTTTTGAGTCAGGACCTCATGGTGAAAGCTTTATCCCTGGATTCAATTTCACAGCATCGTCTATCCCTGTTCTCTTGTCAAGAGTGCCAAAAATTCTCAAGCAATTTTGCTTTTATATAAAACTTGCCGACAGCAGCCCTCAAACATTAGAAACTTAGTGAGTGTGCAGTTACTTCCATCAAGAGTGTTTCCGAAATTCTTGAAACACCAAAAGTTAACAGCACTTTCAATCTGCATAATAGCAGTAGAAAGTTACTTAGCATCTTTTAAAAACTGCACAGAAATCACAAATAAAGAAACAAGCATGATGTAGAACTACTATGAATGAAAAGCAAAATACATGCTTCTGATTTGAAAAAAAACCCAAAATATATTCTCTAAAATATCAATATTTGAGTCCATAATAAAACAAAAGCTACTACTAATCTAATTAATAGAGAACTACATTCTTTGGGAAAAAATTTGCTTCCAAAGCTCATGTGCCCCATGTGGCAAGAATCAAAGCAGTGAGCCTACAGGAGCCACATGAAGAGCAAAACATCCCCACCCTGGAACAGGGAGCAACATGCAGCACTGGGAATAATCTTGTACCATGGAAGCCCAGCACATCCCTGCCTCCTCCCCCAGCTACATGAGCCCAGCTCAGGAGAAGGACCAAGGCAGCACATATTGGCAGACTTTCTCCTGGCTGAGACAGTTTCTGGGTAACTCCCTGATTATTCCAGAAAATTGGAATCTCTCTACAGTAGAGACAAGCTAGCTCCAAATTAAACTGGACTCTCCAGTTCTTCAGAATGGAAACTTTCTGTGTGATGGAACACTCCCTAAGGGACCAGGTCCAGTTCTAACAGCTGACAGAATTTAATGGAACAAGTACTGACAGCTGCTTCTGTGAAGACATCCCTGTTACCTGAGTGAGGTAAATCATATCCTTGAACTTCTTTACAGGATCTGGGCTCTGGGGAAGCTGGAAATGACGCCCAACCTCTTGAAGCATCTGAATATTGCCACCTTCATGGTGCTGCCGATGGAGAGAAAAATTGCTTGTGTAGGACCAGTCCTCAGGGGAGGAAACCTTTAAAAACCACAAAAATAAGGTATCTGAATGAAAAGGTAGAAGGTACAATGACAGCCAGGATACTGAGGAAAGGATATCCATTACAGTCTACTGATATCATCCAAAACTTTAAAACTGGTGGTATATTTCTAAAGTGCCTCATGCAGTCATGCAAAGATTTTTAATCACTAACACCCTTTGCTTACACTCCTTGTAGAAATAAATGAAAACACACATTGATGTTGAACCCAGAAGAGCAACTTTTGGCACAGTGGCATTTAACTTAATTGTCCTAAGGTTTGGGTTGGCCAAGGGACCTCAGAGTTTTGCTTGCATTGTTTCTGATAATAAATCAGAAACACCCTAGGTTAATATGGAACAAAGTAATCTAGTCAAACACATGGAGGTATAAAAGTTATATAAAGTCAGTAGGGGTATAAATTCTAATAATATGTATATATATTTTCAAAACCTGCCTCTGATAACAAATTACCATAAAACAGCTTTTTTCAACTAAAGACAATGACAGCCTAACTCATTAAGTTATTATTGCCAAGTTTTCATGGTAATTACTATCTCTACACAATCTTATCTAAATTTGTTTCTTTTTAGGCCGGATTGAATAATTCTTATTGTTATTAATATAGACGAATGTTCTGATTATGCTTCAGATAATAGGCTTTGCCCAGCAAACTGAAAGAAACATTCTGAACTCCTTTTGGTTGCATGCATGAATATCAACATCTCTCCCTGGACAAATGGACAAACAGCATGGTATGTCTCTGCTCCACTTTGATAAATAAGACAGAACATATAATATATAAATTTAATGGAGACAAAATGAAATCCTCTCACATGCAATACATTAAGAAATAGATTATTTACATTAAAGAAATTGGTAAATACATAGAAATCACAACATTTTAAAACCCAGCACAATTCAGCTTTTGTCATATTTCTCCTCTTTCTCAAACACACATCCCTAGACACCACAAAAGTAAACAGATGTAAGTCAATCATTACTGAGCTATGCATGAAATAGAATTGCTACCAGAAATAACAGTTTCATAATATTCTCTCATCCAAACCAAGTCCCTCTTGCAACATCAAGGTAAGTATATTGAACACCAAGGAGGGAAACAGAATAGTTCCATCCCGTCCCTCCCCACCAGCACACACCTCTATCCCACTTATGCCATACCATGCCTAACAACACATTACTACAGGTTGGATGCAGAAGTTTTGTGGGAAGAGACTCACTGCTCTCACTAAATGAGAGCAAAGGGGACAGCAAGGTGTGGACGCCCAGCATCACCTTTTCAATTGTACTGAAGGAAGGCCAGGACTGAAATCCATACTCTGAAGCAAAACGAGTTTTAGGATACACTGTCCAGTTCCAGCAGTCACTGCTGTAGTCATAAAAGTGTGTGTCACCATAATGGGTGTCATAAGGATTCTGGGAGACCCAGCCTTCTTTAACTGACTCCAAGCCATTGGTGGGACTGGATGCCACAAAAGGACGACTCTTATCTTCCTGGGATTTAAAAAAAAAAAAACAAAACAGCCCCCTTACAAAGTGATTAAGTGATTGACATTTACTATCTGAATACATAGACTACTTTTTGAAAAGAGGGGCTTGGGGGCAGGGAGACCATACTTTTTCCACATTTCTGAGTCACCACCTAGGAAACATTCCCTTTTTATGTCCTAACATTCATCATCTTTACTTACTTAATTAGCTTCTTACTTATGTTCTTGGAGGACAGCTGGGCATGATTCTGCTTGCTCTGCTCTTCTGAGGGATTCTCTCCTCACATCAAGAGATTTTCTATCTTTATATGCCTCTAAATTCTTAATGAAGGCCATTTAAAGTGTGCCTTGTGAAATATATACTCAAGGAACATTAATATTTGAGTACTATGACTTCTTTATGGAAAATTATTACTTTTGCAGTGTTTTTACAGGAACAAGGCCACGATTTTCTCCTTCCTTATTAAACAGTCACCTAAATTTAGTCCTAACAAATGCAAGGTGTTCCGCTTTTAATTCTTGCATAGTATCATTACAGGTTATTGTCATTTTAGGTGGCTCTGCATGCTAAGATGGATGAGACTACAAAAGGGTTACATTTCAAATTGTTCAGAGCTGCCTTTATTTAGAGTCTCAGTAGATTTAGAACACTACATCTTTGAACAATAGCCTACAAAGTACTGAAGGAATCCTTCTGCAGGTATAATTCATTTAACACCCTAATTCTAGTAAGATAGAGGCCCAAGTTAGTCACCAGTAACAAGTTGCTGCAATTGGCTCGAACACAGCAATGCGCTCACACATTTGCTTCATTTTAAGAAACAATCCTATTTCCCACATCATCTTCTTTCTTTTTTTCTTGGCGTGAGTAATTAATAATTAACTGAGACAATTTACTACAGAAAATCCTGGATTCCCTGAAGTCTTTAGCTCAAAGGGAGAAGTCTTTTCAAATTACCAAGTCCAGCACTACTAGTAGTTATGGATTTCCTCAGCTGGCTTGTATTACACAGGACCTGAAGTTATCTCCCTCTATGGTTTTTGCACTCAAAATAATTATTCTACTGATTTAAAATAAAAATGGGTCCATCTTGGATGGCAATGCTGCACAAGTACCAAACCAGAATACCTCACTTTGTTGCACACACATTGGCCACCCACCTCATGTAGCTAATCACAAAAACACCACAGCACACCTTTACACACAGCTCAGTACAGAAATCTAGAATCTCCTCTTCTAAGAGGATAAATAAACCTAAAAACATGAGCAAAATCACACTAGACTTCATCAAGGATTCCATGTGTTTGTAGACTGCATACTCGCAGTTTAAATTTTGCATCAAAATATTTTACTGTGCTTCACATACCGTAGAACACCAATATTTTGTTTACAAAATCAATACAATGACTACACAGCACGAGTTCAATGTTTAGCATCACTTTTGCTTTACCTGCTTAGAACACAAAATAAACAGTCACATATTCAAGAAGTAACATCTTTATAGATGTCTTCAACTGCTATTAAAAGACCTGAGGGTTGTTAAATGCTTTTCACAGAGTTCTTCAACAACATTAGATAAAGAAAACCTGATCATTGAGATTAATTAATTAATGGGCAAGCTGATTTTTGTCCACTGGGAGTGAAGGCCTTATGGACATACTAAAAGCAGGAAGAAAAAAGAAGCAAGATCTACTACACTTTCAGGTCTTTACACATCACAAAATGTTAAAGACAAGCTTGGTTTTTTTTAAACTTGGAGAATAACTCTTGAGTTTAGAGAGCTGTTCAGAAGAGCTTGGAAAGAGCAATTTCTCAAAACGCTCATCTTCATGTCTTAAAAGGATTAAAAGAAAAAAAGGAAATCCCAGCTTGCTTCAGTATTAAAACCTTTTGCCAAGCCATATCATCCTGCAGTTTCTTGAGATTACTTACACTAAGAACTATTTTACGTATGTTCTCCACATAAAGGGTCACGTAGTCTTTGATATAGACTCCTATGTCAGGATAAGGAATGGAGAACCAGTTGCTTGCAATTGCGGCTTCATTTTCATTGTTACCACTCCACAGAATAATTGATGGATGAGATTTTAAACGTCGCACCTGAAACACAACTTACAGTTTCACAAGTCAAGCAAAATTACTTATATTAACAATGAATTTTTTAAAAATAACCAGTTTATTACTAGTTGAATTACAAGTCCACATGTATATTACATATGCTAAGCCTACAATTCCCTTTTTTTGCCACATGGTTCACTATTCCCTCAGCTTGCCACTAGGCTCAAAGTTTGTTATATACACTTTCAGAAGGGAAAAGTTCTAATATGCTGACATACATCTGCCTTATGCATGTATGTACCACCCACCTCCACTCAGCCATGTGTGAAGGATAAATTCTGTGCAGTCTGCTTGAGTGACAACTCCCGCAATCAGTCAGAGGAGTTCAACAAGATTTAGCAGGGTTACATTTTGTGCCTGTTACATAAAGGTACGTACGCTAACAAAAACTCAAAACAACCATTTTTGGAAAGCTAACTTACACAGTCAGTCAGTGAAAAACAGATAATGTGAAATAGAGCTTTGACACATGGATAAAATACCTGATGAGAAACTTCTGCTCTTACGGATTCTAAATAATTCTGGTCAGTTGGATACAGCGCACACGCAAACATGAAATCCTGCCAAATCTACAAGGGAAAGGAAAGATTAAAAAAACTGTCAGCAAGTGACTTTACATACTTGAAAAATATATGGCTATGGGGATGCACAGTCCTTTGTTCAGACAGAAAACAAATCACATTCACCATGGGGCTCAAGTATGTGCATACTGTGGTTATCCTCAATATCAGGGTTACAAAATATTTACCCTTAGGAATCAGCTCCTGACAGCCTACATTTAGGAGTGGAATATGGCTCAGCAGATGAAGTTCATGTGAGTTTCAACAGAATAATCAGAAACATGAACATGTAACAATTTGCAGCTGAACAGAACAATTTCATATTTACTTACTATTTTGCAGGTGTAACACCAAATCCCCATTACTTAATGAGAAGAGACAATAATTCTCCTGATGTGGTACTGAGCACACTTAAAAGACCTTAATGTGTACTTGTTAAGAAAACACCTTCATACAAAATTATCAAAAAACCAGCAAATCTTACCCAGTAAGAAAGGCAGAAACAAACTAGATGCTCTAAAAACACTGTGATCTTTCTCTTCAAAGAAAGATCAAATAGATATTGCTAGAGAACAGCAAGCCTTTCAATTCAAGAACAATAAACTCCATTTGTACCTTGCAGGAGAATTACAAAAATGGGACCGGAAGCCCAGTGAGAAGGATAAGATTTCTTGTTTACCTGTTTTGTTTTTTGAATTGCCGTAACCTTGAGGCTCCTTCTAGTCTGTCTCAAATGTTAATGAAAAGACCTCTAGAAGGAGCACCTTAACCCAAAGGGGTCTGTAAGAGACTCTACTTTTCTCAACACCATGCTACACAGAGAGAGACAGAGACTAGCTCCTCACAAAATTGCATTTTCATTGCAATGAGAATATGCTTTTCCAAAGCTCTTTTCAGCACACATTCCCTTAGGAAACTGAAGATAAAGAATAGGACAGTGGGGGATAATGGAGTCATTAAGAATTGTTACAATTCTAACACTGTACAGAAAAAGCAAAGCTATTGCTGCAGAATCACTCATAATCCTTTAGGGGCTGTTGGTGTCAAAACTCTCTATAGAAATAAACTTTTTCTCACTATTTCCCTCAGTGAGCGATCACTGGTTTTCCTTAAGCACAGTTTGACTCCAAGGCACTTTTAAGCCTTTGCAATACCATCAGAAGAAACAAAACCAAAAGCCTCCCCCACTGCCCCCTCCAGAAAAAGGGTCTGATTTTCTGCATTTACTTGCTATTTTGGCTGTTAAATAGGATCTAACTCTTGCACTGAACACTGTACAGACACAGATCTACGTGGCCTACTTAAGGTGCCTAGTGTCAAAAATTGAAGAACTGTAAGTGCTCAGAAGCCTTGAAAATCAGGACACTCATTCAGATCACTAAAATAGATGTAACTTTTTTTTTGCAAGCACACACATCTGAAAGCAGCAAGGTATGAATACTGTTTCCCTGCTTCTTATGGTGTAGACTATGACCAAACACACTTCTCAGGATTTTTAATACCAGATGCAGCTTGACCTTCATTCATCTAGTCACTGCTTCATCATAACTTATTAATACCTGCCTCCAAGCTTATATAATAAAAGAAAGGTACTCATCTAGGATTAGTGATTGCAGCAGGTGTTCACCTTAGGGCTACAGTTATATTCAATTATAGCTTGTTCAAAATGGCCTCTTGGATAATCCTTCCATGTTTGTCTTTGGGTTAAAAGAAATGTTTGAACCAAAAACACCCAAACCTTTTCAGCTGTTGCTAAAAAGAAGACAATACTTTTAAAATAAATAAAATCCATTTCCATAACTGAGAAGAGCATAGCTACCTTTTACCTAATGGCAACCTTCTACTAAGAAGTCTCCAAAATATCACTTCCAGATTCAACAGACAGCCTCTGTAATCACAAACCATTCAAATTACAAAGAAATTAAAGAATCCCAACCAGCCAACCAAAAAATTAGGTTAATCTGACCTCTCGTGTTGGTACTCTACAATGTCCTTTGGAAAGATGGTTACAACTTATGTATTAATTATCTTTTTTTAAAATTTGAAGTGGATTTTCATTTACAAGTTCTTGTCAGTTTTTAAATTAGTACTCTGTGTTTATTGTTCTTACCATTATTCCTATTTCATCACAAATATCGTAAAATTCATCTTGTTCATATACTCCTCCTCCCCAAACCCGAAGGGCATTCATGTTAGCATCTGCTGCAGACTTCAAGAGCAGCCTTAGTCTGTCAAATACAAAAAGGATATATACAAGGTGAAGTTGTATTAGTTAAGAATTTTTAAGGTTATATAAAAAACAAATAAATGAATGCCCCTAACAAAAAAACCACCCAAATCTAAATCATTAGTAGGCAATCTATGACTTATAACTCTAACAGAAAGCATCAAAATACTCTGGTTTCTAAACCTGCATGTCTGGACAGAGCTCCCGAAAAGCAATTTTTTGTGCAGAAAAAGTGGCTTGATCCTGTTAACACTTACAAAATAGATGACTCGTGTCATTCCAGTGTAAGTGCTTTTACAGAAGTTTTGGCAGGACCAAATTTAGAAATATTATGTTTTATTAATCATGTTGGTCTTTTCTCCTCTGATATTACTTGCTTTGTATGTAAATTACTTGAATTTAAATTCTCTTTAAACACAATCAGGAATGTATATCCTCTTCCCAAGTTCCATAATGCATAGCAAGAATAGGGGAGTGAGAGGGTGAGGAGAAATACTGATACTGGGAATCTCATTTTAAGGGTTTTAGGCTTCATTTTTCCTTAAATCATATGGTAGCCTTTAAATTGCATGTGAATGCACACAACAGCATGCCCTGTTGTCCTGGTTCCCCAATACCCCAGAGCAAAGCTTAGTCCAGGTACAGGACAGCCCCCATCCCACCTGCATCTCTGCAGAGCTGTGCAATGAAATCCAGGTAGTCTAGATGAGATCAGGAAAAGGGGAGAGGCTGCCATCCACCTACACAGCCCTACATGACATGGGATGAAGTGCACATCCTCTGACTACCCGTGGATGTGCCCAGATGAGGCCTGAGGATCACCCCTAAAAATACCCAAAAGGCCAGTAACTATGAACTGCAAGCAATCACCTTCCCACCAGCAATTGCACCTACATGCCTTGAACATCACTCAAATCTGTTCATGTTAATTAAGCCCTAATTCTGAAGCCTCCCACTCCCACCCACAACAATTAGTGTTCTACCTTAGAAGTTTTACCCACTAAAGCCAACCTTTGATAAAGGGTGTAGAGAGAATCAGGAGGAGGAAAACATTATCCTTTATCCTTAGAGAACATCAAATGTGGCTTACGTGTCATAGGTCACTCTGTCCTGGAAAGAATCTGCTGGAATCCAGTTTGAGCCCTTAATAAAAATGGGTCGGCCATTGATTCTGAAGTAGAAACTCAGACCTGGTGAGCCAGGAATAGGCTCCTGAACAAGTTCTACTGTCCGAAAATAAACCTGTGAAGACACGGAACTTAGATTTAAAGCTGTCAAAAAGAATTAAAACTACATAAATAAAGAAAACCATTACAAAAGGGATTGAACTGAACAATAACAGCTTAGAATTGGCCAAGGAGTCAAAAGACATGGATTCATCTCTAAATTCCTGCTTGCTGAAAACATCCTGTAAGTGTACTAGAAAGAATTCTTTCAATAAGCCTGTTCACTTTTTAAAATTGCTATCATATGAAGAGACAGCAAGAGAAAGCATGAGCAAACAACTGTACATGTGCACACAAGTATGTAAGGAAGAGACAGATGAAGTCTAGTTGTTGCAGAATCCAGTCAAAAGTCCAGCTGAAGGCCAGAAAGAGGAATACAGGGGTTCCACCAGATCAGAAGCACCAGGTAATCTGCAATTTTCTCTACCAGGAGACTGCAGCAGCTCAGTTTTAAGTCTTATCCCTGAATGGTTAGCATGAGATTCACATAGTACAAGCAAGACCTTCTCCTTTTACTGCTCTGAAATGGTATCTTTTTAATAGGTGCAACGCTTAGAGAAAAAACACGCGTGCAAACACAAATGCCAGTTTGCAAGTGAAGGGCCGTCTGGCCATCACAGCTGTGCTGGAACAGCATGATCAGCAATAATGACTCAGAGTGACCAGTTCAGCTAAGTAAACACTTACTCTGACTAAAGTATTAAAGATAAAGCACATTTCAAGCAGAAGCAGAGGCCAAGCTTGTACAGCTGCTCTTTTAGCCAAATATATGGCATTGTGGCGCTGAAACAAGAAAACCTTCCTTTCTTCTGTTGCAGGTCAAATTAAAGCTTCCAGGAAATCATTCCAGGTGTTTTCTAGGACTTCACTACAAGCAACAATGCTGCTCTGAGGGGTATCCTGACTGCACTGACACAGACAGCCATGAAGGAGCAGTTAATGCACTGCAACAGCAACTGCAACTGACCCCTTATTTGTACAGGTGCCTTCCCCACTTGCCACATCAGCTCCTGCAGACCTTCAAACTCTTCCAGAAAACAGGGACACCTTAAACATTTTCTCCTGCATCCTTGTTCCAGTTCAACTTCCTTAAGTCAGAAAGAACACACATTTTCTTTCTTGCACCTGTTGCTCATTATCATAGGGAGAAAACTGGAAAATTAAATAAAGGAAAGGAAAGCTCATGGTAAATTTTAGCCAAAACAGGTTTGGGTCAGAAGAGCAGGAACCAATTTTTTTCTAAACTACTCCTAAGATAGCAACCACCCCTCTCTCAGAAGACTATTTGCTTTACCTTTTCAAAAGGTCAGCTTGTACAGTACAGCCTGTTCTCCCTCTGCCACAAGCTTCAGCTGAGGCAAGTATATGTCACTAAACCAGGCTAAAATTAACCTAGTTAAGTGCAAAAGATACACCTGTCTTTAATACAAAATGCAACTCTTTAATTCACACACCAGACATGGTTGTAATTCAAAAGGGAAATTATTAATCCCACTATGGGACTGCATTTTCTGAATGTTCAGCTTATCAAAAATCACACATATAGACAGAAAACTATTTCTATCAGTAGGGAGGAAAAAGAAAATCACCACTTTTTGCTTCCTCTTTGTTAACTGAGACAAGTTAATTGGACAATTATTAACCAAATACCTGGACAGAGACAATGCATGTGACAAACCAGATGCATTAGCAGAGGTTGCAGATCACTGAGCTCAACCTATACAGCTCTGCATCATGGCAGCAACCATTCCTAGATTTGCAGACTTAGTTTAACAGGAGAAGTTGAATTTAAATAAGAACCAAAATTTCATGCAACTTTCACAGTCACTCTAACTCCTGAAGGCCACAAAAGAGAAACTACAGTATGAGTACTGCACTAGTGAAAAAGTTCTGACCTTCCTACACCGAATTAAATTACTCGGAGAAAAACTCCTCAGTCTCCATTGTGGCTCTGTTTTTATGGCACAAAGTGGAATGGGACTTGCAGTTGGAGCTGCCAAAGTATTTGGGATGTCATCAGGCAGGTTGTGACGGTCTCAGAGTGCATTTGTGATGGAGTATTTATATCACTAACAGAAGTAATGAGATATTGCTTTACTCCTGCTCAAGTGGAACTCATGCAACTGGCCAAACCCAAGGCAATCTGAGAGGCTGGAACACTCAGCCAGGACCACCCAGACAGCAGGAGCAAGAGAAAAAGCTCCTCAGCCTCTGCTCACATTCCCAGGCCTTCAAGATTCAGTGGAACTCCATTGTTCTCCCAAGGCCAGCTGGTAACAGCACATCTCCCTGCTCCTAACACAGCTTCCTTCTGCCTTTTGGGGGGGTAAAAGAAGGGCAATGGGAGACAACCAGCATCTGGCATGCTTGGCTACGTGCCCTTCTGGCTATCAAGATCTTGGCCACCTCAAAATCTGTCTGATAGCGTTTGCTGCCTGAGGGCTGAACATTTCTCTCAGGGCATGCACAAGAGGCTCTCTAGCCACCACCGACCAATCAGCTGATTCTGGGCATAATTATGAAACAGATACCTACCCTTTTAAAGTACATACAAAGGCTTTGTGCACAGTTAAGTGACCTGTGGATGACATCTGGCATTCCCATATTTAGCAGCAGGAAAAGTAATAAGGATGAAGATGCCTAGAGCTGAACTAAGATCACAGAACAACCCAGCGACCTAACAAATTAGCACACAGCATGAAAGTGGTGTGAAAACTACAAAGCCAGAAAAAAAGACTTCTGGAAGTCATGCTAAAATGCTCAGGGGGGAAAAGAGGATGTGAAGGGATGGAGGAAAATACTGCTTGAGGCTAAGATCTTGAAAGTACAAAAATAGCCTTAAAAATTAACAACTCTTGATTACAATGCTGGAGAAATGAGCATACAGAAAGACAGAGAAATAGAACTGAGGAGCAAAAAAATGCTTCATGGGGCAATGAAAGAGGTAATAAATTCCTTGATGCGGGGATGGCAAGAAATAAACAACTTATCAAGAGCAAATAGGACCCTTCATCAAGAAAACCAATGTCACTGTGAGATATTTCACATTATCCTGAGAAAAAAAAACTCTAGAACAAAATATTCAAATGGAAAACCAAACCAAAACCAAACCACATCCCATCCTGGAAGTTGGCTTTTATTCTGCTTTGGTTTTCTGCTACTCTGAACAGGAATGAGTAAGTACTTCTTTGAGCCAAAGAGATTCCCAGCACTGCTGGCTAGAGCTCTATACAGCTCCTGCAAATAAATACTGGAAGGCCACCCAGAAATAATCCCATAGCGTTAGTTAAAGTTATGAATACTACTCTAGCATGTCAGAATCCAGAAAAGTAGTTCAAGTTAGGAGTAGCCAAATCTGACATAAAATCAAGCTGTGCTTTCTCACATGTACAGTTCTCATGCTTCAGTTTTTTCCTATCCAAAGTTAAGCAGACACTCATAGGGACACAAAAGACTTGTCAAATGCCTCACCTCTGTTTTTTTCTGGGGGGAAAAGAAAGCGTGGAAATAGGAAATTTATTCTTCCTGAATCCAGTCAGTACAACACGGACAACAGAACTGACAACAGAACAACTTTCAGGAACATTAATCCCGGACTGTATCTCCTGAGCTACCCAAAGTTCTTATCAAGCTGTATGAAGGTTGCTGTTCAGTTCTGCTGACATGAGAGAAAATTATGCTACAACATGAAAAAACTGCATACAGAGCCTTTTCCCACTCATACAGCTCTCACTGGGGGGTGATGGTATGCATATGCATGCGTGTCTGTCAGAATCTAAGACTGAGATTCACAAAACACAGGAAGGATGACCAGACTTCACACTGTAAGCTGTAAAGGCTTCTTATGCTGGTTAATTCACAAAGCCCACTATGTGGTGCATTTGCTTTTTTCCCCTTCTTTCCCCTTAAGGAGAAAAAAAAATAAGAGGCTTCTGTTGTAGACCATGAAGTCCCCATGATCATATGCCACAGAGCTCTATGAAATATTCTGACATAAGCACTCAAATGGAAATTATTAGCTTTCCTATCATGTGCCGTTTTCACACAGTAATAACTGAATTTTCCTTTTTAGAGGCTTTATAACTGTATTTCCTACAACCAGTTTTTCCAAGCAACATATGCTGCGTTTACTTGGTGTGGGTTTTATAATTGTTTCAAAATTAGAACACTAATCATAGCAAAGAATTATTATTATTACTATGACTTCATAATCGAACTGGAGGCTAGTCCTATAAAAATAAAACACCAGAAGCTATTAGTTTTCCTAAGTTTTTTTTCACACTAACAAATGTTACAGCAAATAGCTGTTTAGATGCCTGGTGACCAGATTAGTTTTTAGTAAAGCAATACACACCAGAAACATCTAATAAATGCATACATTTATGTGATTGTTTCCACATGCTCATGGCATAAGGAGGCCAGTTTAATCCCTATGATTTTTCTTTTTAATGGACAATTGGAAGTTACCTCTTCTAGGCTTCTTAGTAAAACCAAACAGATAATTAAACAGCCACTGTGTCAGGGGAACTCTTATGCAAAATCCCCCAAATATTACTTTTATGGTCATATTTAAGACCTTACCTTTTCTTAAGCCTGAAGAACATCTACCACATTCTAATAAATAAATGTATGTTAGGTTTTTAGGAATGTGTCTATCCCATAAATTTTTACAAAATTAATTAGCAAAAAAAAAAACAACTCGGTAATAAACCTTTGCATAATCTTACAGAAATCTAAAAGGGTTTTTCAGTGCATGATACAAAACCAAGAGCATGGTATATGAAGTTTAGAAGTGCTGTTTTCATAAACTAGAAAATTTAAGAAGTAAACATCTTTTCTCTTTTGAGATTTCTGGTTAACTGTAAACCATCCTACAGCCACAATATAAAGTAAAGGCATCCATACAAGGTAAGACTACCAGAAAACAGGTATCCATACATTGTGACATTAAAAAACTCATTTCTCATTAGCATTTCCACATGCATATTATAACTCAGCAAAACATTTAAGAGCTCTAGACACCTGCTATGCAGAGCAGATGTCCTAAAACTAACAGTGCAATGCCAGATGTAATTGAACTTTAGGGCTCACCTTTGAAAATTTCTCAATCTGGCATCCTGCCTCCATCATGAAAGTTGTGGTCATGTTGTATCCAGTTTGCTTTCCATGTCCATTTGGCCACCAAGCCTCCACTGCAGCACTCTTAAACATAGAAGGGAGAAAGCCAGAGAACATGTATAACAAGAGGTATCAAATGCACCTGGGGCTCAGGTATCCTTGAGTGAATCACCACAACCCTAACAAGGTTTTGCGCTTCACCTGACATATATTAACATTTTCTCCAGCTGCAGCTCTGAGGTGAAAATCATTTAAAGAGAGACGTGTGATTTCTTCTGCTCAAGTCCAGGCTATCACTTCATTTTGTGTCCACAACAGGCCATGAGCACGCCTGCACATGCGTGCACACATCTAGCTGCTACTCCTCAGCTGAGGTGCACTGACATGCTATTCCTCCAAACCCCAAATATCTGTATCAGGAGCAGCCACTGTTCACTGAGCTCTGTATCATATACCTCCTCTCATTGATCCTTTAACCTATCCCATGCAATATTCAACATACAGCAGTAACACTTTCCAACTGTGATTCTGGTAATATGTGACCATAATGACTGCTTCACTTCTGTCAAGCTTTTAAGTCAAATTCTTCCATTTGTTCAGTGGTTTTTTTGCTTTGTCTCTCTGTTTCCTAATCACATCATTAGTACTCCATAATTTTTACAAACACGAAATACTATCTCCAAGATGACAGAATATTTATCTTCACTCTAGCAGCCTACTTCTGCCATTCATTCCTGTTGCCAGCATTTGCCAATTGAGTGCATAACACAAAAATTGTGGAAAGAAAGCAATAATGCACGCAACCAAACAATGGAGGGATCAGCACTGAATTTAGTCATGCAAGGAGTGCCTCAATCTCTTCAATCAAACTGAGGCCAGAATGCAGCCCAGCAACATGTTTTGCTGTAGCTATAGTTGAACAAAACCATGAATATGAATATATATATATATATAAAATGATGTATCATGAATACATCTTCCAGCTTCCCTGACACAGAATTATCTCGACTGCTTGTGAGGAAGTCCTGATCTCTGTTCTGCATGGATACAAACGGAAGCGCAGACTCAGCGAGTGCCTCGACAACAAGGGAGTGTTCTCAGCTGCCTGGGACGACTGGATGTCTCATTGGCCACCAGTGATGTCACCCTCTGCTCACCACTAGCTGATAACCAAAACGCTGTCACATTGGCAGCACAGCACTTTGCGTGGCAGCCGCAGGAAGGCTGATACACATCTCAGCGATCTGCGCTGCTGGAACACCTACTGACTCCACAATGCAATCTGCAATAAGCTCTTAACTGGAAATACATTGCTGGCAAGGTCTCAGTATCTAACATGCACCACACAAGTCTGTGTACAGAGCAAGGGCTCTGTCAGCCTCATCAATACATGAGAACACATTTCTGGGCTTCTCATAAAATCAGCTGATGTGAATTCATGCAGCAAAGCCTTTTGTGAGCAAAGAATAATGAAACACTGCTGCCTCTGCTCGGAAGGAAATACTTCCTTCCAGACTTGCAGTTGCACTATACTAACAGATCTCCTCTGAGGCTGGAACAACTAAATAAGCAACAATAATTTTTCAAGTTTCACGTTGCAGTACCTGCTAAATGTAATCCATTAAAAGGCTAAGCAGAGACTCATGGTTGTTTTAAATGAAATGGGGTATTGGTATTTTCTCCTGTAACTTTCATGTCAGATGACAACAGTAACAAAAACTGTATGTTTCTATGCTTCTGTGTCAAAATAAAACAAAGCACATAAGTACACAAGTCACAGAGTGTGCACACTGGAACATAAACACCCTGCTTGCTTTCTCTCCATGCAAACAACTGACAAGTGAACTCGAGAACACACACAGACAATGCAGTCAAGCTGGCAAAACAGATGCAGTCACACAGCAGTGCAGAAAAACAGCAGAGCCACTAAAATATAGAAGAGCTTGAAGGCAGACCCTCTAATGCTATTAACTGCCAGTACTGTCAGAAGCCTCAAAAGCACATCACCTACCCACAAATGTATGTCCTGCAGCAGTGAAGCTCCTGTGGAGAACTATATCAGGTGTGGCTCCTGCTACAGCTGCCAGGACTCCCACTCACACTGGCTGAAGCCTGATTTTTTAAATTGAGTTTGCTCCTCATTAGAGCACCTTCTACCAGTCAAAAAATCCTCCCGAGAGTTGCCTATCCAAAGGACTACAAGTGAATGTAAGGAGTATTACTCCACAAAATTTTCTTTTGCTTTTATTTACCTGAAAGTAAATAAATATCTACTGAGAGGCTTGAGGAATCTTTCCTCTCTCTCCTGGGAGAATCCTATGTATTGTAGTATATTCTGGTCCTAATGAATCTAGTAAACAGTAGCATGCAAGATTCCTGTGCCAGTGAAGTGACACACGGTACCCAAAGGTTATTTACCTAAATAACTCAAAAAACCGTCATTTAACAGTGGCCAGTGATTATGTGACCTTTTTCTAAGGCTTCATCACCTTTTGGCAGTGAGCTACGTAGCTTCATAGACATCAGATTTTAGAAAGAAATAGAAATGTTCTCCTAGCCTGTAAGGAGTACAGAACTGTTGTCAAAAGTCAGGAACACAGTAAGGAATGGGAAGGAGGCCTAAAACTGGCATGGAGGCAGAAAGTCTTACTGGAAACGAGGGAAAACATTTTGCAGCTGAACTAGCACTCCACACACACCTCTTTACCTTGTTGATGTTTACAAGCAGCACAATGCTGCCTTCTCCAGGTTGAAGCTTCACACTGAAGGTTTGCTGCGTTTGTAACTTGGGAATGTTCACAGTCACAAGACCTGCAATTGGCTTGGAGCTGACTACATCAAAAATAGACTCAACTTCAAGATACCACTGCTGAGTACTCTTTGCTAAGTGAAGAGGGAGAAAAAAATGGGATTTAAGAATTATGTTTATATACCTATTAGTTAACATTATCCTTCATTAAAGAAAAAATTCAAACATCTAAGATTAAATTTAATAATTTTCAGGCTGTGTCTGAAGCAGCCTACATAGTTAATCTGCTTATTTAGTGTGTTTGACATCTGAGTCCAATGGAAGAGAACAATGCAATATGATTTATGTTTTTTAACTCCTTTTTTAATTCAAAAGCCATCCAGGCTTTGTTTTTCAGAGCTCTGTACAAAAGTCAGAGACCTTGACACCAGTCACTTCATTAGGAAGGAATTTTTTCCCACCAACTCCCATAGACATTGTATTTGCTTTTAGTCAGCACTCATATGAACATGGTACTCTTTGGGAAAGATTGTAATCACAAGCCAGTACAATCACTTTTGTCAATGAAACAAAAACAGTATTAACAGAAAACGAGCTGAATTCATCCCAGACTCACTGGACAAAATGAATGCAGCTACACTGGGGATGAATTGGGCCCACTGTGTCTAGACTTGACAGGCTATATCTTTATGTCCCTTCTCCCGCCCATGTGTCGGGAAAGAAACAAGTTAATGACTTCCATGAGATCTCTCTGAAGTTACTACAGAGCATCCTCTCTTTTACACAGCTTACTGAAAAAGGAGAGCCAGGGTCAAGGGTACTCAAGATCTATGTGTAAATTTCCCACTAACTTCAGCAGTTGAATTGCCTAGCTACAAATACACCCTGGTTAATCCTATTCTTCAAATATTGCAGATTAACATATAAGCAATAACAAACAAAACAGAAAACAAGGAGAATGACACATTTTGTATACCCAAACTACTAATAACTTACTTTCTCTTTTCATTTATATAGTCTAGCTCTCCTTCCTCCACAAGAGAAAGAGAGCTCACTCCAAAAAAACAAAGAATTGCATTCAGCCCTGGTGTGATTTTCACTGTCTTTCACAGAATGAAGAGCAATGATTGAGTTCTCAAGTTTATATTACACCCAGCATTACCCAGTGAAGACCAATTCTCTGAAATGTAGAAAAGGTTAAAAAGTACCCACCCTACAAAGGTCAGACATTACAGTGCATTCTGCCTCCCTTACAAAAGCATATAGAAATTCCAACCCATTCCTAACTGCCTGAACTGCGGGGTCCAGGCAGAGAAACCAAGAACAATGAATCTTTTACAGACTCAGTGGTCAAAAGGCTATGACACTACATCTGATGAACAATAAAAATACATATGCAGCTTAAATTCAGGTTCTTCATTTACTCTTTCTTTTTCAAACATTATTATGTTTGAATACTAATAAGCTCTTGCTCTGGTTCCAAGCTACTCTCTGCTGAAGGAAAGAGGTTTGCTCTCTCCACTTACCCAGACAGCAAGAGTTTACCTACCAGAAGGTGGAGTTGTGGGAATGTGGGAGGGACCAGAAAAGATTTTTATTGTAACTAAATTTCAGAAAGCACACAGTCTGCACTGGGGTTTTCCATGGAAATTCCAGTCACGTCAGTTCTATTTAAGACCTGCAGCTATTTCAGGACACTTTAAAAGCAGCCATGGAGTGATGTCTTCCTCTTTTATTCATACACAATAAATCTATTCCCAAGGGCCAAAATTCACCCCAATGCAGAGGACCCACGTGCTAGCCTATACTCCACTGGGCTCAACAGGCAATGAAAAAAAGCACGTGGGTGGTCTACAACCAGGCATATCACCATTTGCAGAAAGTTTCAAGGGAAAATTAACTACTTCTGCACAGCTGCAATGATCTTCAGACAAAGGAGAAGAAAATCAGAGACCACTGCAAGAGAGGAAACTGGTTTGGTAAGTTAGGTAGCAAGAATGCAGGAGGTTATTCTGTCCAATTGCAGCTTTAACAATTATCCTTGCACAGCACAACTGCTTTTCTCTCTCAGACTTCATGTTGTGTCCTGAAAACTCAGCACTCATCGAACTCTGCTCACTGTGCATTTGTCCTTCCAACACAAAACCAAATTCCCATAGCAGCTTTGCCTTTGTTTGAAATGAAAGTGAGACATATTTACAGGGAGTCTTGGTGAAAACACATGCCAATAGAAAGGAAAAACTGAAGAACAGGTGCTAATCTCAATTATACTACATTTATTTATGCTAACACTTTATACTACATTTATTATATTCTAACACTTTTAACAGTTATTGTTTGTTATTAAGTACTGTTTCAATACCTAATAAAGGTGTGTTCTGGAAAGAACTACACACAAAGTCATAAAAAACCCAGAGAACATTTCCTATCTGACAGTTAATTTGGCTTACTAATAAAACGGTTTGTATTCTAAAGGTGAAACCAGTAACAAGAAGAAATAAGAGACTTACCAAAGAAAGGAGTTATAGAAAAGTAAATCAGGTGATAATGGTTATAGGCCTCAATCCTAACATCTTTCCAGATTCCTTGAGTGGGAAAAGAAGGGCCCCAATCCCAACTAAATGAGCATTGCTCCTGGAAAACAGAATGATTATGTTACAAATGCCTGTTTTTCACAGAGACATTGATGCCGTGCCAGAAATAAGACATTTGCTATCTGGAAATAAAATACTGACATGCACTGAAAGAATTTTTCCAGTTTCCATAAATCCAGAAAACCTTACAGAATTTTTTTTCTTATTTCACAACCAGAACTTGCTGCTACTATCTGTATTATACAAAAAATTAAATTCTGTATTAAACATCCATGTAAGGAGAAATTTTGTATTACCAAAAGAGCAAAACAACACGGCATACCACCAGAAAAAACTACCAACAAAACCCCAAACAGTAAAGATCAAATAAACAAGGAGATTACTCTCAATTCAGCTGTGAATTATCTTACTTTGTAATGTCAGTATATAATTGTATACCTAAAAGACAAACTAAGCAGAAAACTGACAATTATAAATGTTACAGTATTCTAGAAGAACAGTATCAAATTAAAAACCATATATGAAATAGTTTATCTCCTATTTTCAGTTTTAACACCACAGAGTAATACAAGGAAAGAAATGGATATGTCTGGAGTATTTGTGTAGTTCAGTCATGTTCACTGTTTCTCCCCTTTTTATGGTTCTCTTATTCAAAAACAAAGGGAACAAAAACATGGTTGAGAAGTAGCTTAGTTCTGGTACTAACATCAGAATAACTGTCAGAATTATAAAATGCTGGTCAGGCAGAGAAGTGCATACACTAATTTCCATTTAGCTGTTTTCAAACCTGGTCAGACCTCTACTTAACAAATCCCTTGACAACATCTATTCAGCTGCCCTCCAAGTTTCACACAGCCCCAGCCCCCAAAGCAAATACAATGGATCTCCTAAAGTCTTGTACAGTGACACACAATTCTAAATTTAGAGACTAATAACTTACAGCCAAGGCATACTAATTTGGGCAAACCACATTGCACAAGCCTGGCCTATCCCTTGCGTTGCCAGTCAGCCTCCCTGTCTATCAAACTGCAAAAGAGCCTTCCAGGAAGCAAACACTGCACCTATTTCAAACACAAAACCAGGGATATATTCTTAGAAAACATGTCCAATTGGAAATCATTTTCCCCTTATATAAAATAAACAAATGAATCACTGACAGATTGGCAGGTTTCACTAAAAATACTGCAGAGACTGCTATCAGAAACAGTACGTCACAAGAACAGTATGCCTGTATCACTGGAATACATCAGCAGTGACAGGTTTGGGTTCTGCCACAAACTCCTACTCAGATTTAGATAAGTTTACTGCACTTAATACTGCACCTGAAATGTGTAAATAGCTCTCCATTACTTTCAGGTGGGAAGCCACCAGCTTATAGCAGTGTCCTAGTATGTTTGTTTAGTTTTAGATGTGACATTGCTGCTGTTGTAGCCAATATTTGGAATTCAAAATGTTTCTGGAAATTTCTGGAGCAGTTTCCAAGCACAGTCAAAAAATTCATTTGAGGAAAAAGCACTAGGGTATTTTCTAACAAATTTAAAGGTAAAGTTCAGTGAAGCATAAAATCATTCCAGGTCTCTTTTGCTCTATAAATAAGACTCCAGCTGAGTAAGTGCCCTCTTCCTTGCAAGCCTCTCCTTGCACTGATTTCAGAGAAACACAGTGGACTCAGAAGAACTAATAAACTTTCTAAAAGGTAGAGAAAATAAAAGTAGCAGCAAGCAGAAATAAAGACAGCATCTTAATCCTAAAGGATCTTTCCAGGACAACATGAAGTCCATGTTTACATTAATAAATTTTAAAGGAAATCATATCCAGGTTTAAATATCAGATTTACAGAATCCTAGTTATTTTTTGAGGAGGCTCTAGAAGGACTTTATCCGAAAGTTTGAGAATAATTATCAAGAAAGGCATTTAAGTGGAGACAAATATGCAAAAACACCCAAAAAGAGAAATTAGAAAATAAGATCATCTAAACATGACCTCTATCTGCTGCAAAGCTATCAGAAATACATGAGAGTTTGCCCTGAGTTGTTTTAACAGCAGAGAAGGCATATCTTAAATCAAAGTTTCTGAGTTTTATTCATTTATATTACACAGTTGTTTTCATTGAATATGTACATGTAAGTCACGCTTGACAACACTCATAAGATGAGAACAGGTTCCCTGTTAGGTAACACTTCTTGGGACAGGCCAGAGCTCCCCAGTATAAATAGCACAGCACATGAGCAACAGCAAACACTCACAAAGCTGCTTGGATGAGATTTTTACAGCCCTGGCTATAACACACTGGTATTTGCAACAGTGAACTCTATTGTCAGCATACATTGCTAAACCCAGTGAACCAAAATGGAATGATTACACATTTCCCAATGCTGTCCTGCCCTCTTAGCAGCAAGTCTCCTTGCTGACTCTTTGATGAAAACAGCCTTTCAAACATTCTTATCACTTAGATATGAAGCCTGGCCTTCTCATGCCTCCTGTATTGTCAACATACAAGACTACAGGTTTCCAGGGGGGATGGGAAAAGGAAGCTGCAATGAAAAATATGCCCTACTTATAAAACAACAATGCAGGTTTCAGAATACAACTGTAAGGACAGCTTGTGGTGCATTCCTCTTTCCCAGCCTGAAGCCAGAGACAATTCTGCCCCTACCTTCCTGATGAAATTAACGTGGCACTCTCCTTTCTGCACAGGTGGAGGGCACGCCGGGGGGATGCTGTGTGCTTTGTGACATCTGCTCTGCTCCGCTGCGTATGAAACGGCTGACAAGAAACGGACCTCAACGAAATTGACCTCCTGGATCACGCTGGTAATATCAAAGCTCTAGGACAAAACACAGAACAAAACCATTACAGTGCTGACATTTATCTATGAGATTTATAATCACTATTACATGGGGATTTTAATACCATACATATATTATTCAAAAGCTTTTGAAATACACTCTCAGCGTGCTCTGGTTTTGAAAGAAAAGAAAAGCTTCTCTGTAAACTGAAAAAAGAAAATACACAGGAATGTTCTAGATAGAAGGAGATGTTTCTGGGCAAACCACTTTCCTCACACCAAGCTCTCGTTGCAGGCTGCAGCACTTGGCTTGCACAGAGAAGTACCTGAAGGACAAGGACAGCAAGAGAATCTTTACCCTCATTTCTCATCCAGAACCCATCTGCATCTTTGGAAAGACACCTTATTCCAATTCAGAGAGCTGCTCCATACAGGAGTGCTTTCAGCTAGCACTGTGCGGCCAGCTCCTCTACCACAAGGCACTGAGCTGCCTTGTCCATGAATGCTGCAAAGCTGTAGTTCATTCCCCAAAATGAAATGAGTTGCATTCTAGTCCCCCAAATGTAAGACACACATTCTATGCCAGCACCAAATGAAGCATTTGGGGGCTTCCTCACCAGGTCACAAAATCCCCTTCAGTGTGTCTGGAAAACAGGAGAAACGTTCCATTTCAGAATTATCCTGTGCTATCAAGACAATATGGTTCCAATGGCTAACACCCATTTATTCCTCAGAGTGCACATTGATGAAAAGCCCAGTCTTGGCAATTTTTCTTTAAATTGGGAACACCCAGCTAGAATCACTAACTTCTGTAGCATACATCAGGATATTAGAAAGCAAATAGCATTCCCCAGACCAGAGCCTTCAGAGAGTCCTTCCTGCAGATGTTGTTGCCATGTGGAACAAGTGAACAAGGCACAAGCCTGGGTCACGGTAACCCTGGACTCAATTTAATGCAGTACACTCTAGTTTTACAGTGAAGGCCATTTCATGAATTGTTACAATCTGATACAAAATGAAGTTGCAGAAATATGGACAAAATAATACCACTTCTGAACTTTACAGAGCCTGCTACTGACAACCTTTAGATACTCTCCAAACAGTAAATAATTACAATTTCATAAAAACTCTTATGAAATTTTTGATTTCACTGATGGCAATAGTAAGTCAAAGAGAAACTAAGTGGTTTGTCCTAGGTCACACAGACCCAAGTGGCAGAATGTCTTATGCCTCAGTGCTTCTGCAATAAAACCTGCCAGAATGGTAAATGCTGAAATATGGAGACACCAGATTTCTTTTGTAATTCAGTTATTCCAGTTATCAATCTTCCCTTAATCCTTCAGATTTTTTTATTCTTTTAAGATTACCTTAATACCAGAATAATTTTATATTTTAAAGCTATAAAATTAGTTTGAATGTTTTTGCCATTCTCAAGATCGTTCCATAATGAATACTCTCGTACTGACATAAGCAAAGCTCAAAAATGCAAGACAATGTTATCCAAAGTACCATATTAAAAATAAACCACCATCTTTAAAAACAAAAACATGAAAACACACACAGGCTTTACAGCACATGCATTTTCATTGCAGTATTGAAATGTAAACCATTCTAATACCAATTAGTAAGCAGATTTACAGCTAATAAAACAGATTTAAGCTTATGTTTTCTTGGAGGTGGGACACATCCCAAGAAACAAGACACATTATTAGCTGAATTGATCCTCTTGCATTGGTTCTCTCATTTAGGACAAGGCACATTCACCTCCAGATATGACCCTGTTGCTAGTGAAAAGGTAAGTACAGTTCCTAACATTTACCTGATTACACATGCAGTCCTCAACTCAACACTTTCTGCATCCAAGCACCTACTTTTATGGGTACTTGAATGCACTTGCTCAGAGAGAAAGGGCTTTGAGGCAAGCACAGAAGCACCGTCACAAAAAAACACATTACTTACATATCTGTTGAACATGTTGTCTGTTCTCCCCAGAGTGACATTGTTGAGCAGGATCAGTGCTACTGTATCTACTCCCTCAAAAACCAAATTCACTTTCTGCCACTTTCTACAGAAGAAAACATACATATGAAAAACTGTCAGAATACCTAGATTTAAAAACACACAGGACACAGACAACATAAAAATGTGTATCACTATTATACTAGCTGTTGCTTCAGCTTTTTGTAGCTACACTGTACCTTTAAACAGTCAAATTAAGATGACAGCTGAAGTAGCTCAAATCAGCATGTTCAAGAACACATCAGGCTCACATACCCACCTGATGTTAGATGGGATAGCTTTCAATTAGCCTAAGTACTATCTTTTTTTCAGCTGACAATTCATAAGTAATTTTTAACAATCAATTAAAAACATAAAAAAGCAACAATTGAAGTGTTCTGTAGCAAAAGCTTTGCAGCTGCACATGATTGCATAATATGTTTTATCAGATACAAAAGTATTAAGCAGATTTTGAGTGGATGGATTAACTTGCAATTCTGCATGAAAGATGGCACAGAACTATTTTAGACATATCTTTACTGCATACCTGATGTCAAAAGGAGTTTTGAACGTCCTGCTGTAAGTCCAGTTATCTAGTGAGATCCATCTGTACATCACATCATTAAATCTATAGTATGGATCCTAGTAACAGACCAACAAAAAGAAAATTACATTATTTATTTAGTTATAGTGTTACTACATTAAAAGCATCACACTATCCGTTAGATGAACACTTCTTATTTCAGTCAGTCTCCAAATGCAAATTTCACCTTAGTTAGTCCTGATATTCCTTTTCACCCTTAAAATTTTACCTGAAAGTAAAGCTTTAGTAATATTTGACTTCATTTATATAGCTCAAATCCCTATCTGATGTAATCACTCAAACTAGAAGTTTGAGCAGGATTTGTTTTTACAGAAGAAATTACTAGTCTGGAAATTAACCAATAAATCCAGAGAGCTTGTGACCTAATGAGAGGAACAGAAACATGATCACACTCATAATTATGGAGAAAGTAAGACAAATAGGATTTTAAGAGGCAGACAAACAGCATTTTAGGCCTCTAGGGACAGCACTGAACAAATCTCTAGTTTAAAGTTATTGCAAATAATCCAGTTGTTCCTTGTCAGCTAGACTTGCTGTGGTAAGGATAAAGGAAATTGTTCTATGTGGGGAGATGGAGAAAGACAAGAAGGAGAAGCAACATCATTCTGGCTTTGGTAAAAAAAACGAAATGGCTATTTTTGAGAATAGTATTGCATTTACACCAAAGGTGTCCTTCTCCCTTTAACCACACTAGCTAGAAAGAACAGAAGGCACAGTTGGTCTAAGCTACGTGCTCGGCCTTTCTGGCTTCATACTGCATTTATTACCTTACAGTGGGTCACCCTCACCCAGCTTAAGGGGTCTGACACCCCGTGGCCTCACACCTAACACAAAGGCAGCAGAAAGGTCATATCCCATGTCTGAGAGCAGAAAGGCACAGTGTCCCATCCCCCGTGTCAGGGAGCAGAAGGGCAGTGTCCCATGTGCCAGGATCAGCAGGGCAGTGTCCCATGTATCAGACAGCAGTAAGGCAGTGTCCCATGTGTCAGACAGCAGAAAGGCAGTGTCCCATGTGTCAGACAGCAGTAAGGCAGTGTCCCGTGTGCCAGGGAGCAGAAGGGCAGTGTCCCATGCCGTGTGACAGTGCCATACCCAGGTGCCAGCTGAGAGCTCTGTTCCAGCCCCTGCAGCACTGCCGGGCTGAGCTGCTGCCCCAAACAAAGGCCAGTCTCTTCGGGCCTGCATGGCCCAACTCCCCTCAGAGAGAGGGGAGCTGCGGTAGGGTGTGCTTTGACAGGAGTGTTCTAACAGCCAATACACTTAACTCCCACCCTGAATATCCTCAGTCACACTGAAGAAAATCTGCCCAGCATTTTTTTATTTCCTACTTGCTCGAACGTAATTTTTCTCCCCATTTCAGGAATCAGTATGCATAGTTACAACATTTGGAATTTGAAGTCTTCTGAACAAAAAATGGTCCTGTACCTCATAATTGTTTTACAACAAAAAGGATCAGGCTCCATAATAAACATATAAACCTATTCACATAGCAGAACAAAATCATAACATTTAAATGACTCTCCTCAGCAGCACAGACCCTTCTGGAGTCCTAAGCAACACAAACATCATTCCTTGGGCTCATACAGAGGGAAAGGTGTCACCCTGCTTCTACATGCCATGCTCTGTCAAATTTCTTACTACAAGGGAAGAGTCAAAAAGGAAAAGCCTTGTCACCTGAGTAAAACTGAGACCTCTGTATTGATAATACAGTGTATTCTCTAAAAGTTAAGTCATCATGAGCTTACAGGAATATCACTGAATTTTAAGACATTCATTCCATTACTTTTGGTTAATATATCTCAGACTTTTATTGAGATGCAAAAGTTAAAGCCAAGAAATGCATATTAATATGCAAAACTTAAGCTCGTAAAAGAAACTTCACTGAGATCATTGTACTGAGATGAGAGCCAAGCACAGAATGTCAGAGACCGTGAAACCCCACAATATGTACTTTAAAAAGCACATTTTTAACAACAGTCTTACTTTAACATTATATACCATCTTATATATGTTTACATATGCATACATATTCGTATTTAACATTACATATTCTTTTATTTCACATTATGCTTTGAAAAATGTGCATGTTAAATTTCAATCTTTGCCACTTTTATGTGTGAAATATTTAACAAACCGCATGAGAGGAAAGTTGCAAATGCACTACCAACAGCACACTGTAAAGCCATTTGGTTAATGGTTAAACAATCAACATCAGTGCTTCAGCAAAGATGCACAAAAGAAACCTGCACCATTTCTCCCACAAAAGCACAGATACCAAGATGTTAACGAACAAAGTCCTGACTTCTGGAAAACACAAAACTGGTTGTCTAGCAGCAAAAATGCAGGAATATTTTATCAAAGGCAGAAACGGGCTCTTACAGGAGCTTACAGAGTGACATGTTTAAATCTCAGAATATACTGAAGATCTTTTTCCCTGAAGGAGCTTTTTTCTTTACTAGTCTAAAGCCTTCAAACTTCAAGAAATGCACTGACTATTGAAATAGGTGTAATAGAAAGTGCAAATTAGCCCTTCTGACTCACAGGCATCCACCCTTTTAGATGGAAAGCTCACAGTTCCGTGTACCTTCATGTAAAACTTAACAGTTTACTGATATCATTGCTACCTAACCAGTAAGACAGCTCATACATCACATAAAAGCTATTAAATGCTAATAGCTGGTCAGCCTTTTTAACCATGACAAATGTTGAGTGTTGTAAAATCAGTCGTGGCAGTGTCCAAGCAATGCTTTTAAGATAATTCTCAAGGTTCAGGAGAAACACATGATCACAACAACGTCCTCTAAGAAAGCACAATTACTTTGCCAATACACTTGTGATGTTATTGACTTTTCCATTATTAAATACAATTGTTCTGAGTGCTGGAAGATGTAACCATGTAAGTCAAATTGTTTGGATTTCTCTGAAACAGAATTTCATCCCACGTTAAATCATTTCACATCAAGATGAAAGGCTTAGTTCAGAAAAGTGCATTTAAAAAAAAAGACAAATTTAAATCACTTAAAGGCACAGGGAGAAATTGAAAAATGGTAGGAAATAGGCTGCACACCTATTAAATACACTTCACATTCAATAGCTCAACAGCTCAGTGTGTTCCTGGAAGCAATTCATAGAGGGGTGGAGTCAATTATAGTTATTTTTAGATCCCACCAAACATAACAGCCTTGCATTTCCCTGCTCCCTGCAATTTGGGGGAAAAATCTGAAGTATTCAAGCTGCCTGCCTGTTTGTTCCCTGCTCCCAGACTCAACGCTGTAAGGAAGGAGCAAATCACCTCCTAAGAGGAGGTTAAAAGCCCTGCCACAGATCATCAAAAGGATGCAATTTCCAGGTCGGCTACCAGGACATCAGCAGGACTTCAAAAGCACTGGCAGCACTACAATGAAGGACCTGCCAGTGCCCAGCTGGAAGCTTCTCCTTGCAATGACTTTAAGGGGATATTGAAAAGCCACGGTGATATAAGCTAAGAGCTTCTCCTGTTAAGCAGGAAATGGATGAGCCATGAACACAGGAGAAGTGAGGCTCCAAGCCCAAGTGAGGGAGCAGTGGTGCCAGGCATACCCTGGCCCACTGACAGGACACCTCCTGGTCACCCAGGATCCAGGAGTTCTGAGGGGCATGGCACAAACACCTGAATGACAGCAGACAGAGTCAGCTGTACCCAGGTGGAAGATCTGCATGAAATAAAACGAAATTTAATAAAGAGAACAAAAACCAGATTCCTCTGCCTTACCCTGCTTTTGTTATGCTATAATTCAAAGTCACCTTACATGCTCTTCTCTCATAAATTAACTCTGCTGATATTTTATCATGTACACCGTAAGAAAATTCTGATGGTGTAACACATCACCAAAACAAAATTTGCAAGTCATGTTTCATGATTTACTGAAAGTTTAATGATTCTGCTTTGGGTAACTTCAGATGAAAGCTAAGTAGTTGATATATACTTATCTATACCCATGTGCTCCTTGACATCACAAGCGATAGCAGTCAGGACATTTACATAATCTTCACAGCTTGAAGTCAGGCTAAATTAACAGCAGTGATGAATGGATCATATCCTTGGAGCATTAGTTTTGGCAGTTCCTCCTAAAGTACCTAAATTTCAGTAGCTGCTCTCAGAAAGCAGTAAACTGAATGTCACTGTCAATGTTCAGGATGTGTCACAGCAGAACACTAGGCCAAATATGACTAAAGAGTTAACATAGTAATACCCACTGCTTAATATTATTTGAATACTTGGATGTATTTAACAGACCACTATAAATTTTACCTCTTTTAACACCACAAGCTTTTGAAAGAAAAAATAAAGTGTCCTTTAATATTTATGCTAAGTTTTACTAAGGGTTTTGAATGTTTGCATGTGTTCTCACAGTTCAGCAGAGCACCTGTATGTCAGTGGAAAATAATATAATCATCAACTGTTCCAACAATGAATGCCACCTAACCTGAACAGAACCATAGGATATCAAATGGAATTGTTACTTGGCTTGTTCCAAAAAAATCTAAGTTGTGATGAAGTGTCAGAAAATAAACAACAGCGTATTTTATACAAATACAGAACAAGCTACAGAAAACCACACCACTTTCCAGAAATGTAGAGCTATCAGCTATCAGTGCATAAACTTCTGTCTCTTCTAATAAATTTTGATATCCAAGTATGACCAAGAGCACTGTTAGCTTCTCTGCCAAGTGCATGCCCTTGTCTAACAGGCCAGAACATGCAGAATTACCCAGACCCTGTATCAGCATCACACTTGCATACCTCTCATAGTACTCCATACAGGTCTAAGTGACAACTGAGAAGACAGAACAGCCTTATGTATAAATGCAAATGGCTGTCGTATGAGAAAATCCAACTACAACAGCCATATTCCTCAGAACTGGAAATTTACAGGAGTCACCTGCCAGCAATAAATGGCATCGTGCAGAACCTGGACAGTATGTGGTAGAGGATGCCTATTTCCAGCACACAGACTTAATAAGCAAGTTACATGGGGGTACACATGGCTTACCAGAACAGTGCCTGAAAGAAAATACTACACTGACAGTGGTCAAAAGCAAAACTTTCAGTCAAAATGGTTTTGGCAAATCTTTTCCCACAGCTGTAGGGTTAGTAAAAGATTCACTGCAAGTTTGTAAAATGTCTGCATTCAAAACCAAGCTTCGCTCTAACTTTATGTGACTATTATCTTTCTCTATGTGCACTTCTCATGTGTTTTTTTTAATTTTACATGTAAATAGTAGTAACAGCTACAGTGTCTTAATGAAATGTTATTGAAACAATCATGCCAAACACATACTCTGATGCAATCTCCTGGCCCTAGAGCTTTTATCATAGTTAATCCAGCATTTGAATTATATTGATTGAACACGAAAGAAAACAACACCTTGGTAGGAAACTCAAGAGTCTTCCCCAAGAGCATTTTTTGAGACACATGCATTTGGTGCAGCCAAACATGTTCCTCCAATGTATATTTTATGAGCCAGAATAAAGATATCTCTAGAACAAATGCTAAGAGGATCCAGAGAGATGAGTAATGAACCCTCAGCATCAGAGAGATGTTTTTCAATTCAACTGTATGGCTTGCACAGCAGATTAAAGTAAGGCTAACGACACGCAATCAGCTAGAGCATCCCTGTGCAAAAACAGTTTGTGTGTCGACCTAAATTTGAAATGATCCACACAATGATAAATGAATTGCTTGCAGCCTAGTCTTGCAAACTAAGCCATGGTCTGAAGGCTTAATATTCATCAGCTTCCCCCTGCTGCCCTCCTTCCCCTCACTGTGAGATGCCCATTAAGTTACATTGCTGGAGTAGGCCCTTCCAGACTCTGCTTTAAATTTCTTTTCTGGGTGCTAACCCACTGAGAATCTCATGGATACAAAAGCAAAGCATGGAGTGAGATTTGTCACTTGCAAATTACACAGAAAAACAGCATGTAGATTTCACCAGGTCGCTGAACATAGGGGTCCAGAATGATTTTGTTCTCACTAGCTTTGTTCTCCTATTTCCTGGTACAGCTTTTCAGACCAATCTCCACTTTTGATTACAAGCTGGGTTACTGATCTAGTGACATCTTCTGTAAGATGAATAAAGATCCTATGTTCCGTTGCAAAGCATAAAAGGAGCAAATGAAAAAAATACTTAAGACCAAAACTTGTATTTAGGCATCCATAATAAATCTACTTCTATACCTGACACAACACCAAAAAGGGCTGATTTCCAGAGATAATGAAGTCTGAAAAATGGAGCAAACAGCTCTATGCCTCTACAATTAGGGCAGTGTGCATGCTTTTGTACAAATAAGAATATAGGAACACGATTTTAGGCAGCTGCACTTGAAAACCTTTGGTCACATTCACTGCAGGGAAGAAACCTCAGGACAAACAGCTGAGCCCCCCTCTGGAGCATGAAGCCTCACACTGCAATAATGAATGATGTCACTGACTCCCTCCAAACAACCAAGGCTTGCTGCTTTGCAGAATGCAAAGCATTTACCACCATCTGCAATAGATTTCAAGTCTGCTAAGGCTGCTTCGCTGTTTTGGTACGGTCTGCATTCTATCTTTTAAACAAAGATGTAATTTTGAAACAATTTAGTTATCCAAGTGCAAATTTGTCTGAATGCCTCTTTCTGTAAACTGAGCTTTGCTAAATTGAGTAAGAATGTGTTTACACTGACTTGAGTTACCTGCACACACCTATACATAGAAACAGGTTACCTCATTCTAGGCTTGGAATGAGCCAGACACCAGCTGGGTCCAGTCCAGAGATCAAGCAACCACACTAGTGAAGCATTCTGGCTAACTCAGCACTTCAACAGCAACATCACCAACTTGGCAACAGCTTCCACTTCACCAGCTGTACCAGCACGTGTTCGGAGCAAGTTCTTACTTGTATTCAAGTAAACATGTTCTAAGTGACCACAACCAACCATCATCGATTTAATTAGCCAAGCACCCACTGCTGCCCAGCTGGCTGACTAAGCTCTCAAGCCTCTGTGCAGGCTTGGGATTCTGCCCAGGCACATGAGAGTTCATGATCCTCATTTCCAAATATACTGCTAAATTACAAGTCGGTTTGCAGCAATGCATTTAAATTAGCAATCACATCTTCTCACTCCGTCAGTGTACTTAGTGTGAGTAGTTAAATGCGAGTCTTTCATTACATCACTGTCTTGTGTGCCTGAGTCAGTGCATTGGTCACAGTTTCTCCTGATGATTATTCACACTTCTTGCAGCAACACCTCCCAGCACAACCAAACATCCCAGACCTTCAGTTCACCTCGTGCACTTTTGCATCAGAGAAACCAGCACAGTTCCCTTCACTGATCCTCCACATAAAGACTCCCTGCCCCCTGCACATTTGACAACTGTAGAAGAGCCCTTCTGAAACCTTAATTCTCGATGTCCAAGATGTCACATCACTTAGCACACAGATGTTAAAACAACAGATCATCATAGCTCTGCCTATCTCCTTATAGCACAGTTCTTTTTCCAATGTTGATGCTCTGTATCTGGCAGTGACACTCTTTGGAATCTATTATTAGTGCTGGGATTCCCAACCTGTGCCAACATAGAAAATGCTAAAATTATCCTGCCCAAATGGTGTCACTTTCTCCTTTTATTTCTCTAATTTTAATCACAGTATAACAGGCTGAAGGATAAAACCCAAGAAATAAAAAATACAAAATGCATACATTCAGCATGTTTTTTAAAATAAATGATGCACAAGAACAGCACCACTGGGCCCACAATAAAGGAGGGGTAATATGATATACTCCCACCATACAACAGTACATTTTCCAGCACAGAACTCTCTTTATCATCTTTATAGGTGACTTTGTTAACTTCACTGAGTTTTAATTTCTTTCTTTGTTCCAGGTACACAAGAACCTTTTCCTTGTTTCCTTTTAAAAAGGCATCTTATTTCAACAATGATCCAGTTAGTGCCACGTTTCATGTCAGGTCTGAGTCACAGGCACCTTATGCAAGTATCAGATTACTTTGCTACCCATCTGCAACAGCAGTTTTGAAAATTTTTCCAACAAAGTGGTTGCTGTGTTTCTGTAACTTTAAAAATCTAATAGAGACAAGTGTAAACAGAAGCAAAAAAAGTTTCTTCAGAGTGTTAAGACAGAAGTTAGTTCTTTAAATTTAAACTTCTTCTGTTTCACACTATATTTTCCTTAGGCAGAGTGGATGTATATGACCTCCACCGTCCTTACAGTCCCTGCAAGTTTTAAAAGGGCTTTTTAATGGGCTGAATTCCCTAAACATATTGCATCAACGAGTCAAACTTTAGGAGCGTGTGTTTAACTTTCCATTGTTTTGAGGTACCACTATAGGTAGGCATGACTTACACACTGTGAGGGTATTGCAGGTATCTGGTGTCAGCACCTTGGCTGCGTGTCAAAACCACAATCTCACATACTGCAAAACTTCCATTTGTACCCTCTGCCTTTTGCGGGACTGAGGACACGGCAGCCACCAGAGGAAGCCTGGCCGCTGCCCCGGCGATGCCACCCACGCCTGCAGTGGCGGGGCGGCTGCGGGACGGGGCTGTGTTTTGGAGGGCTGTGTTCTCCCCTCCGGCCGGGGCTGCCCACGGCGGGAAGGGCTGCTCCAGGGCCCGGCTCTCGGCGTACCGTACCTGGATGAGGCCCCGGCAGAGCAGCGCGGTGTGAACGCAGCCCGGCACCTCCGCTCGGAGCGACACCGAGCCGTTCCCGCTGCGGAGCCGCCAGCTCCCGCGCAGGCTGCGCACCTCCGGGCCGCCCGCGGCCACCGCCAGCGGCAACAGCAGCACCGGCAGCACCGCGGCGGGACCCATGGCGACAGCCGCCCGAAGCAGCGAGCTGGGGCGGTGCTTCCAAGCAAGGAAAGGGGGAAGAGGAGGGAGGACGCCGGCGCTGCTGAGGGCGGCGCTGCGCGCGGGGCCTGCGGGCGGCCGGGGCGGCGCTGCCCGGGCTGAGCGCGGCCGCGGAGCGCGAGGGACAACGGCCGGGCCGCGCTCAGCCCCGCCGCTGCCGGCCCTCAGCCCTGCCCCGGCACAGGGGCGGGTCGGTTTTGTTTGTTCCTCCAAGAGACACGGGGGAACAGCGATGAGAGGGGCTCTAATACGGTTACGAGTCTCGCAGATGCAGCAAATGCACTCGGAGCTCTAGAAAACGGCAGGGAGGCGGGAGGGGATGAGGGAAAGCTGTGACGACACCACAGTGGGTTCTCAGTATTGGCTCCCTCGAGTCGTGAGGCTTTTATATGGCCTCAGACTTCCACATTCTTTTTTCCATAAAATTACAGAGGCATATAAAACTGTACCAAACGTCATGGACATCTCAAAGTACTGTGGTTTCCTCATAAAGCAGGGATGTGGATTTTGTGTATAAAAATAGAGTAAATTCCTCTGCAAAAGGACAGAAGCATAGCTCCTAGGAAAGAACATACAAGAAGTATGGTTTTCAAATCACACTGCAGCTTTCCTGTGTGCCCTTGCTAGGTTGTTCCCTTCATTCACAGCCCAAAGGCAGGAATTAAAGCAACAAGTTTTTAAATTGCACCATGGAAGGCCTTAGTTCCTCTTCAGGTGTAACACCCACGGTACTTCATGCTCTGCTCCCAGTGCACCGGTGGTGCAAGGGGGTTCTAGCTCACCTCCATGAACTGGGAATGTTTCACACCAGACTGACAAGAACAGAAACACCAGGGTCTTGTTTAAGCTCCTGGCTCTCACACACCTATTTCAGCATACTGTAGGAATCCACCCTAAAATTTGTCTTTAAGGCATGACTGAACATGGTCAACATGCCTATATATTTTTGATGCAAATCCTTTCAAGCTGACAACCGTTTGTTTCAATGCAATATAAAAATGTCAGTCCTTCCATTCACCTTAATAAAAAGTACACAATCCAGGCACAGGTAATTTTTTCACCTGTGAGAGCACAAGAGGGAGTGCAGTTCTGAAAAATACTGACTCAAAGAGAAAGATGGTAGCTGATCCTTTTTTATCTTAAAAAATTTCTGCCACCAACTTCAAAAAGGGATAGCTGGGACCCCACACTTTAGGGCAGCAGAAGGCCATGCAGAAACTTAGCTGATAGAACAGTTACCATACATGTAATTTTAAGACAGAGTAAACCACATTCAATACACTGACTAACTGAAATGCTGGTCCCATTTCAGTTCAATTCCCAGCGGTCTTTTAGTGAGATTGCCAAAAAAGGCCATCATCCTAGATTGAGTTACCCCAACTGGCTTTGCATGCTGTAGAATTCAGTCAAAATTAGCATCTTCTTAGCTTTAAGAGTCCAGACTATAAAATAATTATACATTAATAGTATAAAGCCTTACTCTGTTTCTGTCCTCATCTGTCAATCAGTAATGTTTTCAGGGCAATCAAACATTTCAGTGTTCTTTCCTTAAATTCACTGATACAACAATAAAACCATTTAAACCTTATAGTGCTGCTTGAGAGATCTTACAGGATATTATTTCTCAAGAAGCAGATTTACAGTTGTCAAAAAAGAAACTGCCTTTTTTTTTTTTTTAGTAACTCTTTTCCAGAAAGTCACGTGATAGGTTCCCAGTCAGAAGGAAACTGCATTTCAAGATGTTTACTGTACTTCCATGCTTTGCCTTTTATTCTTTCTGCTTAAGACTGATTGGAGCAACACACACACCAAAAAACCTCAACCTAAAAACAATGCTGTAATTAAGTATTCTGAGAACATGCTGTTTCCTTGTTCAAGGTTTATAATTAAGTTAAATCATGTCTCATTTTCATGTCCCAGTTTTAGGGTTTGTTTTTTGTTTGTTTGAGGGTATTTTTAAACAAATGACATTTTTGCTGTTTCAAGATATGAATTTTAAAGGCTGTGGTTTAATATTTTTAAATCTTAAGACATAAAACAAGATAAACCAAGTTCTTTTACTGTGTACTACATTAACCCTCTTTCTGAAATACCACAAATTTAGGAGGTTATTACAATTCTTATTTTACGATACTGCAAGCAGATATTCTTTATCAACTAAGACAAAAAGCAGAAGGCAAAACCATGCCTTTGGCTCTACAAGAATAATTCAGAGCAGTTCTACTGTAGCTGCCCAAATTCTGCCATGTTAATCCATAAGTCCTTTGTTTCCAAATGCTATGCAATCTCTATCATTACAACAGGCTGCTGCTATTTTCTCTTTCAAATTCATGTTCATTGAACTTATGTAAAGGTTTTAAACAAAAAGGTTCTCAGATTTGGATGCAGTACTTCAAGATATTACTGCCACCACCTGTCCACCCTGTAACCATTGTTCTGCTGAAGGTAAACACCTCTGAAGGCAAACAGGACCTGTGCTCACAGCAGTCTGTATCAGGGCATGCTCTCTCTCACTTTGGGTAACTGTGTGCTGCTGAGGATACCACCACCACAGACCATTTGTCAAAGATGCAAAGCAACTAAAGGATCATCTACCTTAGGGAACTTTCCACAGATGCAGCAATGTCACTGTATACATGTTTGTATGAGGGCAAATACCTTCAGGCAGCACAGAATATCCAGAAGAAAGCCCCACAGATCCTCAACATAACACCAGACCTCTGTTTTCTGACTGCATCTGCAGAACAGAACCCCTGTGCAGAACACTTACTCTCTGGAGTAAAGACAATATGATGCAGGGAGCTCTCCAACTATGGATTTCTAAAGGACATTATTCTGTACTTGTCTTGAACTCCATCCAAAAGGACATTAAAAATAAAATGAAGAAATAAATTAAGATTGCTTTTAGATGAGGATACTATAAATACATCACTACAAGAGAATGTTGTAGTAGGTTATCATGAGCAAAATACAAAGTGACAATCTAAATGGTAGGCTTGGATTTTCTTTCATAATTACGGCAAAGTCTGTAGACCACTGCAAGGCAATTTCCTTAGCAAACAAAATTACCCAACACCAACAATCATGAGTAACTAAAAATAAGTATGTAGAAGGGAAGCTATGGCTCCAGGCAAATGCTGTAATGGAAGGGGAAAAACAAAAAATATGTAATAATAACTTTAAAATTTCAGAAGCAGAAAGACAGGTGATGCCTTCAGTATAACCTTCAACTTCATCAGGCATGCTGGGGCAAAAGCCTGCATTTGTACCTCCACATAACATCTTGCTTTGAGATGCATTTAAACCAAAGATTTAGGTGTCAGGTCACCACCTTCCACAGGCACAAAAAAGCTTAAGGATCTTCAAAGCCAGCATGGCCAGATTTCTAAAGTCATGTTATTTAGAAGATGGAATTCCCACAGCTTTCATTCTCTTTATTTTATGAACAATCTTGAATCAATCCTAATCTGTTTATAAAATTATGTAACACTGATCATTGCCATTTACCTTTGTTTCATAAGCAATAAAATCAGTGTCTTGTACAGCACTGTCCAAGCTCCCCTTCAATTCTCATTAAAACTTACTTAAAACATACAGATTCTCTGGCACTTACAGAAAATAAGTACCACAAATGCAGACATTATGAAACAGGTTGCTTAGCCTTTCTTAGAAACTTAAAACTAGACAGTCACCTGTGACCACAGTACAATGTACAACTTGTTCCTGAATGCCTAAAGTGAAATCCCTCAACATGTGGGGATCTGTAGGGAGCAAACTTTCCCCCGTGATGCAAGTTGGAGAGGCTTCACTGAGCTCGTGTGCGTGGCACTTTACCAGCTGAGAGCAGGACATACCAGATAGATCACACTACATATGAAGCACACTACATCCAGCCTGTTGTTTTAATGAATGTTTTCTGTGCAGGTGAGTATTAAAAGAATGTCAACAAAGGTTTGTAGCTGATAAATTGGATGAGTAAATGTAAATGGATTTGGAGTTGCTGAAAGAGCTGGGAGCTTCATTTCTTTCTCTAACTTAAGTGACTCCAAACAAACCACTGGGGCAGGTCAGGACCTCTGTTTCTCAGACCTTTGGTATGGCTAATGCTCCTGGCTTCAGCCCTAGGACAAATTCTGTCCCTTTATTTCTACCAAAATGACTCTAATGCAAGCACCAGAGAATATTCAAAATAACTTTACTGAAAACTGTAGGTACTCGAGAGACACCTTTTCTTCCCTCTTGAAAGATTATTTCATCACCTGTAAGAATTTCCAGAATTCTTAATCAACAAAGTTCTCACTGAATCAACTCAAGCCCCACTTAGACAACAACATAAGCCAAGAGCATGGCTACACAGGCAAAAATATCCACTTGTCTGAATTATTCCAGTGAAAACCCTTGTACGTAAGAGGGCTTCATCCTTATGCAGTCCGGAAAGCTACATGCCCTGTCACTTGCTGCACTGGTACAAATGTCTCAGGAGTAACATTTACAGAAACTGACTCTTGCACATTCATGAAACAGGCATACTTTAATATGGGCTCTATTTTTTTTTCCAAATGACTTCATACATAAACAGCACTAAAAATACTACTTTATATATACACCCATCTGTTAAAAAAAAGCATTATGTGCTTGATTCTCATGGCAACAAAAAGGAAAGGACTACTGCAGTATACAAAGAGTACTGGAAGGATCAGAGAATATCTCAAATTGGAAAGGACTCATAGTGATCATCAAAAGTCCAACTCTCTTCTCCTTAGAGGACTAAACCATATGACTAAGAGTAACACCTACATGGTTTTTGAACTCTGTCAGGCTTGATGCTGTGACCATTTCCCAGGGGAGCCTGTTCCAGTGACCAACCACCCTCTCAGTAAAGAACCTTTCCCTAATGTGTAACCTGAACTTCCCTGACACACCTTCAATCCATTTCCTTGTGTCCTCTCACACTGTATAACTAGATCTCTTGTTTTGGTACTAGTCAGAATTTTAACATTCTGATATTTTCACTGGAAGAAGGGAAGGCAGGCAGTCGTTTTA